CGACTCACCCACAAAAACAGAAATACCAGGTTCATAATATAGACAAATACTAAGTAAACAAAATATTTTGAATGAAGATAATTTATCACCTTTTGTATGAAGAAACCAGCTCTGTTTTTTTTATAGGCTTATTTTTTTTTTTTTTATTTCCATGACATAATATCATAAAGTAAAAAAATATCCACAATCTTCATGGTATAATATCGCAAAGGCAATCCAAACAAAATTTTAAAAACATTTATGTCTATTATATCATTGGTGTTTTGCACATTTATAAGTCTACCATTCATTGAATATTGTTGCCACATCTGGTCTGGTGCTTCTGTTATATATCTAGAGATTCTTAACAAAATCCAAAGAAGAATCTGCAATGTTATCAGTCATGACCTCGCATCTCAGCTCACATCACTTTCCCACTGCTGTAATATAGCTTTCCTGTATGTTTTCTATAAATATTTTCATGGTAATTGCTCTTATGAGCTTTACTCTTTGTTACCTTGACTTTATAAATCTGAGTGTAGTACTAGATTGACTTTTAGGTCTCATCATTTGACTTGAAATTGTTAGATGTAACTGTAAGTTTTATTCTAATAGCTTCTCACACACTTCTCACCTGTGGAACTCTTTTCCGACTTCTAGTTTTCCTGTAAATTATGATTTTCAAAAATTTAAATGCAATGTCAATCATCATCATTTGTCCTGAAAAAAATCTTGTATTTTTAATTTTTGTGTTGTTGTTTTCACATACATAATTTTCTTTTTTTTTTTTTTTTTTTTTAAAAAAAAAATCATATCACCCCATACAAGGCAGTAAAGTCATTAAGACACAAGCAGTTACTGAGTATGAAAGAATAAGAAAAAGAAACATTATTAAGGAGCAAGAACAATAGAAGAGTAATCAAGAGAACAGTAGACATTGCATTTAAATTTTTGAAGATCAAATTTGGCTGGAAAGCATGGAGCTGGAAGAGAGTTCCACAAGTGAGAAGTGCAAGAAACAAAACTGTTAGCATAAAACTTATGGTTATATCTAACCAATTCAACTGTGAATTGATGAGAACTTGCTGCCAATCTAGTCATTTATATGCCATGCGTGATACACAGGCGATCTTTCAATGCATGACTGATGAGGCAGATTTTTTTGCCCTCAGTAGGTTGCCATTTCTTTCTGCGGTAGACCAGTTGCTAGCCAAAGCCATAGAACTTGGTCTGTCCTGCTATTTACCCATAGCTGGGGGAAGAAGAGGATTCATGCCTTTCCCAGGGGTATTAGCACACAATTCAACTGAAATTCAAACTCAGCTCTCCAATTCCTCAATCAGAGCTGCTATCCATTACTACACTTAAATTCATACAAACTGGGTACCATAGCAAAGAGTTCATTCAAATAATTACTAGGAAAGTATTTATAGTAAAGGCACAATGAAGCTACATTATGTTGGTGAGAAAGTGACTGAAGCCGTGATGCCAGATCAGGACCAATGATATGTAGTTATGTCCAGAGTAAGAAATTCAAGTGGACTTAGCAGAATGACAAAAAGAACTTTAGGAAATGGCTGAAAATGTTAATTGTACAGAAATTTTAGAGAAGTAAGAGAACTTTTATAACAACCACCTTTACTTTTTCTGTTCATAGAATAGGCATTTGGCTAGTTGGCTAGTAGGATAAAAATCCCAATGAAGCGGGGGGTTGCTATGTACAAATTCATTCCCCTATCTTAATGAACACAAAATATACAGATACCACCTGATTTTTAAAAAGTTTTTAAATAAATCTGAAAAAAAAAAAAAAAAAAAAAAAAAAAAAAAATAATCTGGTGTACTTCAGCAATAGTAATACATAAAAAAAAAGCACTCCAGATTACAATTTCAAAAGATTTTGTATGAGCATCTTTGCTTTTGGCTTACATGGAGTGGGGATCAATTTACAATGAATTTACACAGTAAACTGCACCCCCTATTAAGTTTTATATTTAATAAAACAAAAATTGCAATTTGTTGTCTCGAGTTCTTAATCTAGAGTAATATGTGAAAAAAATATGACAAAAAAATGATTATTTCAGGTCACAGTGCCTATTGTCCAAGTACACCAATTATTCAAAAGTTTGATACAGGTCTTTTTTGCACTAGAATAAAAAATGGTAGACAAAAATCCAGTTTATACCTGAGTGTGCAAGTATTCACCTGCAAGTTGGCCCCTGGATGTACAGTGGTGTAATGGATAGCAGGTCAGAATGTGAAATCTGAGAGCTAAGTTCAAATTCCAGTTGAGTTTGTCACATTCATTTATGTCCAAATACCCACCCCAGGTATGAGTAAATAGTAGAACAGACTGGGTGCTATAGCCTTGTCAGGAAACCAGTCTAGAAGGAGAACTCTAAAATCAAATCAGCCTGGAGTGGTTGGGCTCCATCAGGTTACCTAGCCCAAGACATACCATTGCTGTTATGGTTGCAGCATGTGATGCCCCTACAACCCTAAGGGTTATGGGACTTGTGAATATGTTGTAATCCCTTTGCAGGGAATAGAGTTGGTGTATTCTAAGCCCTGCTAACAGGAAGTATTAATAATTGTCATTATCCTTTGAACTCTCTACATTTCTGTGTTATTGGTAGAATGCAAGGCCCAAGCATTAAGAAATATAAAATCATTGTATTGATTTTTTTTTTTTCCCCCATTTTTTTTTTTTTTTTTTTTTTTTTTTTAAAAATCATTTCATCCCAAGCAAGGAAATAAAGCAACTAAGACACAGGAGGTTACAGAGTGTGAAAGAATATAAGAAAAGGAGAAACATTATTAAGAAGTTAAAACAAGAAAAGAACAGGAATCAGGAAGATAATGATTGATACTGCATTTAAATTTTTGAAAATCAAAGTTGGAAAACAAGAAGCCAAAATAGAGTTTCATGAATGAGAAGTGTGAGAAAATAAACCGTTAGCATAGAACTTATAGTTCTAACCATTTCAACTGTAAGATGACGAGACCTTGTTGCCAATCTAGTACCGTGCTTAAATGATGAGATCTTGCCATCAATCTACTACTGTGCTTAAATTCATTAAGTCTAGATAACATAGAGGAAAGTTCATTAGAAAAATTACCATGAAAGTATTTATAGAAAAAGCACAAAGAAGCTATGTTACATCCGCAAGAGAGTGGCTGAAGCTGAGATGCCAGGTCAGTACTAACAATGTTGCAGATTCTTTGCATTTTATTGAGGATCTCTAAATATATAGCAGGAGCACCAGACCATATGTGGCAGCAATATTCAAGAATGGACAAATGGTAGACTTATAAATATGTAAGATAGATTTGGGAATGAAAACAAATTTGAATCTCTCAGACATAACATTACACATTATTTTACTCTGGACTGTGTTAGTTTCAGTCAGCTAGTGCGTGGGGCTCTAGACCCTTATCCAAACAATGACCTTACATTCTTATGTGGGGTAGATGTTAATCTATTCACCTGTAATATAATTTTTCCAAAGCTTGCAACCCAGCTGCAGCTGTGCTGATCATTTGGGTTTGTACTCAGCAGTTAGGAGGTCATCTCAGGTCAACTCTGAATAGGGCTTCCTTTATGGTATGGTGTGACATTAAGTGCAAAGTCTATTCAACCATCATCTAGGATGAGACACATGCTACATGAAGATTTCATCTGATTCCTATAAAGAACACTTAAAAAAACATGAGTCTTGTAAGACATTTCTCTTTATAATTTGATATTTCTTTTGAGTTAACATCTGCTAGCCGTTGCTTATCTGATCACTTATAATTTTTTCCATAACTAATCCAGCCAATTTTATTTCATATTATTTCAAATTTCATGAATTGTTGCACAACCTATAAATATTGATTTCAATGTTTTTAAATTACACAGTATATATATTGTTCCTATTATAAGTTTAAACTTCTGTAAGTACTAGATTGGCAACAAGGTCATATTTAAATATGGCTCGGCACTTCTACTAAAGATAAAATATCTTTTCCACTCTGTCCAAGATGAGAATGCAGGCTACTCTGCTTTCTAGCTTGGATCAAGGTATTGTACCTGTTCTTCAATGATCTGTTGTGTTTCTGTCTTCAGACAGTTCATAGGAAACTGAGGGATTCCAGTTCCCAAGGATTCCAAACCTGTGTTGATGACTCCCTTCTCCAACCCAGATAATTTGAAATAAAGAAAACTTGTTCTTTGTCCAACAAACACAATTTAAAGAGAAAAAAACCTTATCCATTGTCGTAACCCAGATAATTTGAAATAAGAAAACTTTATCCCTTGTTCAACCTCTCTTTTTCCCCCTCTCCAGTTTACATTCAAATAAAAAGATCTATCAATCACAGAAAAGTTAATTTTGCATTTCTCTACACCTAACATCTAATCATTGGTTCATTGGCCACTGTGGACAATCCATGTGTTATTATTATAAACATTAACACTATTAAATTACAGATGTTACAGCGATACATTCAATATCTTAAGGAAAAAAGGCTGCTAACAAAACCTGTATTTATAACGGTCTCTCATTTATTTCAAACCAACAATACAAAGAAGAAAAATACTTCTCAGTTTGTAAAATGCTGACACTGTACATTGGAGGATTAGAGACAATTAATTTTGTCACGTAATTATTAATTCACAAATACCTATGACGTTGGATTATTGATGGTCAGTCTAGATCATCTGTTTTTGTTAAAAGTCACCTTTCAGCAATTCTTTAATTGAAGAAACTTAACCAGTGTAGAGATTATGCTTAAAGTTTGGTTGCAATTTGTTCTACCAGTCTAGAAAAGTAAAGATACAACTACATTTTTTTTATAATAAAAGATGTTATAACTTTTATTAAGTTCTTTTTAGTTATCCAATCCAATTTATTCAGCTGATATCAAAATACTCAGGTTAGCAAAAAAATAATTACTATTTTCAACACTTGATAAATACAATTTAGATATAAAAAACAAAAAAAAAACAACTTCTATTTCTTAATATGGCTGTCAAAGCATCAAGATTCTTCAGCATTGTCCTCAAATTCTACCAGGCCAGCTCCTTTGGGTACTGTCTCACCGACTTTGTAGGGCAAGGCTTTTATAACACCAGTCTTGGGTGCACGGATGACAAACTGCAAAGGATAAATCAGAAAGATATGTCAGGATATTAAAGAAAAAACTAAACCATAATCATTTTACAATAACTGGAAAAAAGATGTAAGATGGTCTGATGATCACTTAAGATGTGAAACTGTCATTTCAACTAATTAATTTGTCAGTCAACACTTAAATTTGTTGTGTTTGTAGATGTAGATATAGACATAGGAATCAGCACTGCATGGTGACCCAGTTTTATAATTCAATGTGATTTTCAGACCAAGTGGTGACTACTCCTTTAGAAGATTTTTTTTTTGTGTATGTGTGTGTGTGTGTATATATATATATATATATAATACATTATTAATCAATGTTTATTTTACATTGTTTAATTCTTTAAAGAAAAAGTGTGCATGAGGATGAATTCTCATGTGCTCTTGTGAAGAAATTTTTAATAACACCTATTTTATATCTAAGAGGGAATTCACTTGAGAAATTAAGATGGCAAGAGTCTTTACTAGTTGTTTTTTTATAAACAGAAGTTTTTAAAGTATTATTACTAAAAGCAACAAGAACATCTAAGAAAGGAAGTTTATTTTTTTTTTTTTATTTTTTGCACTAAGTTCATAAGTAAAATTTAGGATCGAATTTTGCTGAAATGTAGCTTTCAGATTTTCTATTTCTTTCTTGTTTTCAGCTAAAATAAATATATCGTCTACATAACGAAAATATATTTTAGGTTTAATAACTTTAGTAAAAACCTTGTTTTCAACATAGGACATATAATAATTGGAGAAGCACGGTCCGAGAGGGTTTCCCATACTTACTCCATCAGTTTGTGTGTAAATAGTACCATTCTGGCTATAAAAAGGAACTCTAGTGGTGCAAGCGAGCAATAGTTTTCTTAAAATATTGGGTTGCGTTGATGGAGGTGAAATTAAATTATTTTTATACACTGAATTAATGATAATGTCAATAGTTTCTGAGTCATGAATAAATAAATTCTCTATGGCAAGTGACACAAGAATGCCTTGATTTGTTTTTACTTTTGTGCTTTTAAGTATTTGGAGGAATTCATGGATAGATTTAATGCTATAGTTAGTAGGGAGATATGGGGTAATAATATCATTGAGAAATTTTGATAGTTGGTATATGCATGTTGGAATCTGAGAAAGGATAGTTTGTAATGGGTATCTCGGTTTGTATATTTTAACATTACCATATATATATATATATATATATATATATATATATATATATATATATAATTAATTGATATTAGCTCCCAAAAAATAATTAATTCAGTCGAGCACTGTGGGGAGAAAAGTGCAAATTTGTAAACAATCACTATTACTGCTGATAATGCAAGACTCTCCAAGCCAGATTGAGTTCTCTAGGTCACTGGAGTGTTTATGAAAAAATAAATATGCAAAAATTTGCCTTTCTCTCTGCTGGGCATCATTAACCTAGGAGTTATAATCCCCGACTGATGCCAAACTGGCCAGGTTTTGGTCCCGGCTTGAAGTGGTTGGATGTCTAACCACATTGATGAGCTGTGATACAGCAAAACAGTCTGTCTGTGGATGACTATATATATATATATATATATATATATTACAATGATATTCACCCTGTACAAGACACAAGAGCCACTGGAGGTAGAGGGTTACAGAGTAAGAGACCCCACCCCAAGTAAGGTGATAATGCCACCAACACACAAGGGGCCATAGGAAGTGAACGAGAAGAAAAAAACTTTAGAAGGAACCACAAACCCAATTCTAAACAGGAATCAAGGGATAAACCACTACTCTTGTTAAAAATTCAGGGAGAAGCGTGAACCAGATGGTAGGTGAACCTATCTACTCCTATTGGGATAAAAAAAATAAATAAATAAAAGTTTAGTGTTTTAGACAGAGATGTTAGATATATATTGATATATTAGATAGACAAATAACAGTTATCAACTTATTTACAATTAGTGATTCGTGCTTAGAGGTTTTCAAAATTGGTGATTTTTTTTAAATCACATTCCTGAGACTTATTATTCTTTACAGGTTTTTAAAAAAATTCTTCTTCATACATAAATTGCAGTTTCTTCTACAGCTATATTTAACTTTATTATTATACTCATTTCACTCCCATACATATATATATAAATAAATAATCTGAACATATTATGTCTATTTTTATCTTAATCATCTCAAATTCTCGGATCAACTTCTTAATGTTGATATTAAATTCATTAAGGAAGGCACCATAGATTTTTTTTTTTTTTTCATTTCTTTTACTTTCTCAAGTACTTCCAATCTCATCTGAGATCATCTTCAGGGGGGAATTGCTAAAACAAAAAATTAATGTAATTTATAGTTGCGAATTTTTTGTAAATGCTTATGAAATGTACTCTGTTATAATTATTTTAAACACATATAAACATGCTCTGTTATAATTAATTTAAATTGTATTATTTTATAATTACAATTTAAGTATTTTAAAAATATTGCTATTGTAGACATTTTAAATCATTATTGCTGTACTCATAACTAACCTTATTTAATGTTAGTTGTATTTTTTTTATATAGAAGGCCTCAAGAATTTGAAATTTTTGTTTTTCTATTTTCATGGTGGAGTATACTTGTATTGTCAATTAATATTTCTCTAAACTGTGAATGTGTACAGGAATGTTTCATTTAAAGAAAGACTTTAAAAAAAAATAAAAATGAAAAAAGAATATTAAATCATGAAAACATTAGAAAACAGTCATGCATTTTGAAACAGTGCTGTAAATAGGTGAATAAAACAAAATGTTATTTTTATGGGTATTAAAATTCTTTTAAAGGACTCTAAAATAGAGCACTACATGAGAAAAGGAATATACAAATAATTTATAAAAAGATGTATGCAAAAGTTCTTTGCACTTTCTTTTGAAAATGAGAGACTGAAGAAACAGATGAAAATCAGTTTCTGATGGAAACATTTGTGTACACATGATATATACCAATCAAAGAAAGGGAGAAAGGAAAAAAATTATTAAAATTATTCATTTTAGAATTTCATGCAATTAAATAAATCATAGATGATTTCACATGTCATTCTTATCAATCAGACATTTCAGACATTGCTACATCAATTATCAAGGATGTTTTGAAATAGATGCAAATAATGAACCACCAGAGAAGTAATTTCATCTACTCACTTCCATTTTCATTGCAATCATTACAAGTAGTGGATCTCCTTTTTCAACTTTATCCCCAGGAGACACAGATAGCTTTTCAATGACCCCAGGCATAGGAGATACAGCAGCTTTCCCTGTCGATTCTGCACTACCTGATTCCATAAATTTGGGTAGAGGAATATTTAACTGACTATATCCATCCTGTAAAAGGAAAAACCAGTAACAGTAATTAGTTATTCTACAAAGATTTCATCAACATCATCAACAATACTTAACACAAAACAAGACACATGTAGTGTAATATAGATATTAAATTGAATATAGAAATATAACTTTGTAAACATATAGCTGGGGCCCTTTCTCAGTCATTCTGAATAAATCACCTCATGTTGCATTTCAATTCCAGTTTGCAGCAGTGTGAACAAAAATTGGGAAAGAGCTGGTGCACATTCAACAATGGAACAGAAAACCAAACAGGCCACAATTTTTTCTTGACTGATCTAAAGAGTAATGCTTATTGAAAGTTTTATGAACTTCTCACATAATTCAGCTTGTTCCTTAGTAAGTAAGTTATTATGTGCATTACACCCTACTATTACCTCAGATAAATAATGGACCATTCCATTTTGGTTGTAAGAGGGAAAAAAAATGGAAGAGAAAGATATATCAGAGATGCTTTCAGTTTTGATGAAAAAGAAAAAGAAAGAAAAAGAAACTATACATAATGACAAGAAAGAAAGGGAAGATAGAAGAAGCAATAACATTATCAGGCATTTAACATCTGCTTCAGTGAAATGAAAATAAGGAAGAAAAAAGTCAGGAAATAGAAAGGAACAGAAGAGAGAGGAAAGAAAAAATTGTAACGCTAAAATGAACATATTTTTGCCTTTTATAATTCTATGTATCTTTTCAATATTATTCAAGATTTATTAATAAATATCCTTCCAGAAATTGAAAATTTACGTGTTCGTCAGGATACAAAGAGAGGATTAACAACAATCGGATATAAGATTATAAAAATAATTGTTTCTTATATTTTATTAAAACTGTTAAGCTAAAATATTTAATGATACAATAGTAGAATTTTTAAGGGGATTTTATTGTCATAGCAATCACAAGGAAAGTATTCAAGGATTTAATTAATAATTATGATTAGTCAAAAACTTCAAAAGAGGAAAACTGTTAAATTTACTAGTGCTAGATAATAAAAATAATACCAAAAATATTATTTGTGCAAAAACGATTCGAGCTCTTAAACACTGTGTTTTTTTTTGGCAAATCTCAAATACAGAATTTTGATGGGTTATCTCCAGTGCTGTAGTTTTCTATATGGTTTTCTGACTTTGAAAATTAATATCAGTCATAATGACAATTATAACTGTCATATAAGAATAAAGTATCACTGTTGACACTTGGGTTTGAACATGGATCACCAGAGAACAAGCACAGTCAACCTCATCTTGAAATAATTAGATCATGTGACGGGTAAAGGAAAAATATATATGGGATTAGCGGTGTCTGACCGAGTATTGTTTGAAGGCATTACTATTGTTGTATTTAGTAATGGAATCCCTAACTTTCATTTGAACATCTTATTTTTCAGATTTCACTCATTCTGTGAAGAGTTAATAATTTTTTTATGAACTGATATCATTGTTTTGTTTCACAACCTATTGAAGCAGACCTAACAAAATTTGTAAAATATTAGCCTCATGTATAATGCAGACCCCAAATTCAGGATTAGAATTTAGTATAACATTTTTGGGGCAACATCTTTAGCAGATTGTAAAGTCATGTGCCAAATTTTAACATTCTAGACACATCAAAGAGAATTAATATGACAGCTTACAATCTGACACAGGAAATGAAAATGCATGCCAGCTAACACAGTTATACTATCTGTATCTGATTAATGAAGAACCGAAACATTGACAAAGGAGAGTATGTTAAAAAAATATTTGTTGTATAAAATATTTTTTTTATCATATGGATATGGACTTATTGATGTAACTCCATATATTTTCTGTTTGGTTTAGTTTGTTTTACAGCATATCAACCTCAACTTTAATGCCAACAAAATTTTTATTGCTGGTAATGTTATTCTTCAAAAATCTATTTCTGGGAATATTTTTCCTTGAAGAAATCTATAGCTGGTCATATGTTTTCCAAAGAACGTATAGCTGTTTGTATTGCTGGTATTTTTTTTTAAGTATTGCTGATAATAATTTTTCCTTCAAAAATTATTGCTGGTAATAATTTTTTTTTTTTTTATTACAAAGTATTTCTGGTATTAAAACCTATTTTTACAGAAGTTTGCCCATAGCTGGGACCCTAACAGGTGCTACCACCCCAGGTCAGGGTGGACCTGGGAACATCAGCAATTAAGAGGTGGTTCCACGCTCCTCAAAACCTCCTTGCTGTTGGATGTAGCTTATTGTCTTACACAGGATGATGATGTAGTTTATCATCATACATTTTCTGTCTGAATTTATTTACATTGTTTACATGCAGATTATTGTGTCCTCATTATTTACATGTGCACTAGGCCAGAGTTATGATATGATAGTGTTAAGAAAATAACCTAATGAATTAAAGTAGTGGTTCCCAAACAGCAGGCTGGACCATTTGGTACATAGTTGCACAGAAAGAATAAAAACTTGTTTCCCCATTTTATTGACTATCATGGTCTTGTTTATTGTTTTATGTGTGTGACCAACAACAACCTCCACACCACAACAAATCTGCGGAAAAATTGTTTTGCTTGACTTGGCACAAAAAAAGTTGGTGACTACTAGATTAAAGCATTGGTCCATGAATTTGGTGACATAGTAATTGTGAGTTCAATTCCTGGGCTGGGTGGTGCAAACTAAAATTCAGTAGAAATGGGGCAAGCAATAACTGAGCAATACTAAATAAAAATTAGACAAGTTATCCCTGGACATGGTCAATGGAATGAAAACACTCTTCCTCCCACCATAGATTAAATAAAGGGTTCAGTTCAAAATTCACTGAAGGTTACCAGCACAATGGCTGAAACATTGAAACAAAGATGAGGACAATAGAAAGTATGTAAATAATCCATATATATATATATATATATATATATATATATATATATATATATATATATCCTTTTTTTTTTCAGTTTTAAATGTAGAAATAGACAACGCAAATTTATTTCACTAAATTATTTCATTTATATACTTCTATATAGTAAATTTGTATTTAGGCAGCAATCCTTCATGTATGCATGTTTCATTAAAAATGACAGACAAGGTAATACAATTAAGCTTTTTATTTAATTTTTCTTGTGTTCGAACAAGTGTTTTCTTTTTTGGACACAGAGTGTGTAGAAACTGTACAAATGTTCTATAATTCCGAGTGCTTTCGGCTATACTTTTAGCCATTATCAGGGATGATTTTATTTTCTCAATTTAATTGAGTGTCTGCGTTGTGTGTATATTTTTTATGTTATAGAGATGTTTTATTTTTCAAACACAGCACATTGTGGCTGTGTTCATAGTTAATATTATTGTTGGCTTTTTCTTTTTTATTATTAAGGCTTCTATTATTTTTAATGTATTCTCACAGGTGGATGAGGTTATTATGTTTGTACTTTCTACTAGTATATTTCAGTTGGAATCTGGTAAGTTTGTGTGTGTTTAAATGGGTTCTAATAGAGCTGTGGTCAGATAGGTGTAACGTAAGGCGTCTGGATAGGCATATAGTCATGTGACCAATGTAATTATTTATGAATTCAGTTTGATCAGGAACACAGTTCTTTAAGCGGTATTTGAACTCAGATAATGTTTGTTGATTGTAATTTTGTTTTTGCTGGGGTGTTGTTATTTTTGAGGATAAGGTTAACTATTTAAAATTTTTTGTAGTAGATTCTATTTTTTCTAATTTTTTCTATATAGTAACAAATAAAATTAAATATTCAACTTATCTGCCTATTCAGAGTTTTCTGGAGATGTATGAATTTGTCAGGGGATTTGATAATAAAAGTCAATTTTTGCTATCAAACCCCCTGATGAGATGATACATCTCTGTGAAACTGAGTAGGAAGAGATAAATTGAACATTCAATTTTATTTGTTTGCTATAAAATGTAGTATTTTTTTTATATTGTGCTCTTTAATTACAAAGTTTGGTGACCTTAAAAGTATTTGCTGCCAAACACACACTATTCAACCATTTTTTTTGTTATTAAACTTCTATATAGTTTTATACATGTCATTTACTGTTACTAAACCTCTATATATTTTTATATGGCATTTATTGTTATTATATTTCTATATATGCAGAAAATATAATGTTAACCTGTCATGTGGTTGAAAGAGTTGCATATTTCCAATTAGGTTGGTGTTTAAGCCTAGGTAAAAAAGGCCAATGCTTTTGAATGATCATTTCTTGGGGGATAGGCAGACCCTCCCCACTGAGAGAATTGGAATGGCATTATATTCATTGCCTATTTACCTGCATTTGACATTATGTTGCACTAAATTTAGTAAGTAAATACCTAAATATTACAACAAAGATATGAAAGCATTTATCTGGCCTTGAGCATGAATAAGTAAACAAAACAAACAGATACAAATGATTTTGGTACTAAAACTGATTTTGATATTAAAGCAAAAAGATAGAACAATAATCTAAATGAAGCACTTGTCAGCTGATCTGCTGCAGGTTCAAGTCCTACCAATAGTATTTTATTGTTGTATCTATTTATATTAAATACATTTTTATGAATATGTATCATTAAACAAAACAAAGTATCCAATTTGGTCACTATATGTTATATAGGAATAAAGTGTCACTACTGACACTGTAGTTTGAACACAGATCACCAGTGAGCAAACACAGGCGATCCCATTTTGAATAAATAGATCACGTGATGATAAAAGAAATGTATATATAGGAATTAGCATGGCATCTAATTGGTCACCATTTCTATTCTATCCTCTATTACTATTCTCTTCTCTACACTATTCTCAATACTGATCACTATACAGATTACTATACAAATCACTATTCAGTGGTTATTTTTCAAGCAAGTACTATTAGTGTGAGTGCTATTCGAAGGTGCCTGACACCAGTATTGTTCAATGCCGTTACTATATTTGTACCTGCGATTACAAAGTCTCTACTACAACAAGCATTACAAAGCGATAATGAGTATTCATTGACATCACAAAACTATATTAATTGGGAAATCAGATACCATATTTCCCACCTTTTCCTGCAACTAAAAAAAAAAAAAAAATCACAAAGACTCTGCATTTTATACCTCAATACAATTACAAGACAAAAACCTAATAACACTAGACATCTGATGATCCCAAAATGAAATATAAATGATTAAATTATATCAAAATAATGTCAAAACATACAAAAATGATATGCATGTTGTATCAAAAGTAGTGCTCAGATTCCGGGAAGCCATCTTGTTAATATTAATCTTAAAGATTATTCACTTTCTTAGTTAAATATTTTTTTCTTTTACTGGTTGTTTAGTAATCCCCCCACCCCAAATAAATGGTTAGATACCCATATATTTCATCGATTTCTACAAACACTCATATAACTTTTGACTCACCCATTATAAGTATGGAAGAAACATCAGTTGAATATTAGAAGTTTTCCCCCTAAATATTCCTTGTTAAATTTTAGTTGTGTGTTGTATAATGTGAAATACACTAATGCATATAACTTAAATGTTAAAGTTGTAGTGAAAAAAAGACTTTTTAATCAAAATAAAATTATTAAAATGCTCCTCTGGAAAACTTACAACATTGAAGAGGTGCACACTATCATTCTGGAATATTACAAAGCTGGAAGTAATGTTGCCATCGATGCAACATACAAGTCGGTTCCTGTCCTCTTCCTGTTGCATCTTGCCAGTCACATTGTACTGCTGACCGTTGTGGTGGACAGTGAAAGACTTATCAGGGTTGTAAACCAATTGAACATCAATCTCTATAATTAAAAATGAAACAAAAAAATTTATATTTATACATTTTATCAGGTGTATTTGGACAGAAATTTTTAATTTATACAAGTTTGGGTAAAGACTAATGAAGAGTCTTTAAGGATTTTTTTGGTTTATATTTTGGACCATTTTTCAGGTGTCCAGTAAAAATTTAAGTATAAATTGCCCAATGTCTGAATGTTTTTGACTTTCATATAGCCATTATCAAAGAGTTTTGTTTTTTTTTTTGTGCTGTCATTTTCATCTTTCAAGTATCATAACTTTATATGTGATGTTGTCTTTTAAAATATTGTGCCATGGTATATTTTTTTTTTTTTTTTTTTTAGTTATGAAATTTTTAGTATGTTTGTTCCTAAACTTGATCAAAATTTATTGAAGTTAGGTTCCTTTTTTGTGCTTAATCCTTCTAATATTTGTAGTCATTACATAAAATATATATATATATAAAGACATTTTTATGTTTATACATTCTTTTTATAGATACAAATATTTAAGTAAATGCTCTGTTTATAATAAAGAGTATTAAACAACATTTACCGGCCTGAATGTTTGAGAAATTTTCACAGAAAATATTCGTCCTCTGACAGAATTCAAACCTGTATCCTATACAAAACTGTCATTTAGCTTGACGTGCCTTTACCAATTTCATTAAGAAATAGTAGCGTTTAGTTTTCATATTCTCTCAAACTCAGTAATTCTTTGAATCTTAATTACTTTATTGCCTTGCTTGGTGTGAAATGACTTTAAAAAAAAGTTTTATTTTATGGTGAAAGAATCTGGGCTTTTAGACAAACTGAATTTTTTTTGTTTTATTCTTTTGTAGCATATTGCTGCTGGGACCAAATAAGGCAACAAATATATATATAAAAAATATCTTTATTGTTTGAGTTGGGAAGAGTGAGAGGGAGAATCAAAGAGGTTAGGATTGCATACACATGAACTAATAGAGACAAATCTTCAATGAACCTCTAGCCAGTCTTTCTATCCAGATCAAGAATCTGGCCGGTTAAATAACATTTGGACACCTATGCAACCTCACGTGGCTATGCCTTCTTCCAGTATGTTACCTACACAACTTCATGTGGCCATGCCTCTTCTGGCATGCACCACACAAGCATGCATTTCCTTCTGCTCAAGACACCTGTGCGCCCTGTTTATTTAAGGCTCAGGACACTTGTGCATCCTGTTTACTTTAGCCACCGGATGCATTTCCCGTTTTATGCTATCACCAGTTTTGATTTCCACTCACATGCTGATACAGCAGAAGTAAGGCCAAAGGTCTTTCCTCAACCGATATCCAACACTTTCAATTCTTTTCAGCTTTTTTTAATAAACATACAAACATTGAAAAATTGGATCAATATTATTGGTGTGAGCACAAATGAAGACCCCAAAACAATTAAATTGTTAATTGAAATAGAAACTGCTTTATTTTCCAAGTTACAGTATCTTAATGATATTGTTTTAACAAAAAAATTACTATGACATTCTGTTTTTACTGTATTAAGGTAAAATAAACACACACAAAAAGAAATTGTATCATTATAATATAGATAACAAATAGGACAGTTGTCATTACCTGCTCACTGATATAATTTATTGAAAGTTTCAATGAGCAAATGTTGATACTGTCAGTAAAAATAGTGATAGCAGCAGCTAAAACTAATGTTTTGTTGTTTAATCAGGTATCTACCTTAGTTTAAGAGAATACAATACTGACATTTTGTATAATAACAAAAAAAAAAAAAAAATCTGAGATATAATTTTTAAAATTTAAGAATAAATCTTAAATTTTAAAAACTAAAAAAAAAAAAAAAAATCAATAATGGTTCTTCAATTTTTAATACTAAAGTTCAACAACCTAAAACACAAAAGGCTTATAAATTTATAAAAAGAAAAGAAAGAGATTTCAAAAACTTTCATCAATGACATAAAGTAAAAATTCACAGAATATTATAAATAAATGGGATATTCATTATCATTCCATGAGTTTGCATGATTAGATTTGATCTTTTGCAAACCATTAGCCCTTGAAGCACAAATGGCTAGTGTAACTGTCATGATAAAAATAGCTTCCAGAGGTAAAATTTCATGATAATGATGTTTTTTTTTTTCTCTCAGATTCTTTCACTCTTAGTAACCCCTTGTGTCTTAGTGGATTTATTGCCTTGCAAGATGTGAAATGATTTAAAAAAAAAAAAAAAAGCATTTGAAATAACAATCTCTTAGCAAGTATCTTCATTTTGGATTCACACTGTATAATAATAGCCACAAAATGCTACTTTTGATAAAAAGCAATTAAAATTAAGATAAAAGAAATTTTAGTCATAAATTAATAATGACTGACAATACTTCATATAATAAAATAAAGTAGCATTGTCCATGAATTTGTTCTTTGTGTTGATTTTATAAGCACAACATTCTCAGATCAGTGTAAGCCATAGTTTCTGACATGACAAGCTGTGGTAATTGAAATGTATGTTCTCTGAATGAAAACAACAAAAAAATTAACAAGAGTTAATTAAACTGATATTATCAGAATTTTTATCAAACACCAAGTTATGGTTTTCTAAATTCTGAAAATGTCTGTTTGAAATGAAATGTTAGAATGGGTTTAGTTTGGATAACTGAAAAATGTTTGAATGATTTCATTTTATCTTCATTTCACATACAGATAATCAAAGCCTGGAAAATCAAGGTATAAATAATCAAGGAAGTATCTTTCATATAGATAGATTGTAAAAAGGCTGTAGAATGTATCAACCAGAATGTTGTGGTAGCAACAAAACCAATACAAAGAAGAAAATAAAAAGAAAGGAAATTTTCTAATGTTAATAATAAACCTTATTATAATTGAAACCAAATTACATTCGGACAATAATAGCTGAATACTTTGAATAAAACAAATCAAATTTTTCACTCACTTTCATCTCCATCCTTCAAACTTAAGTTCTTCACTAAATTTTCATTAATTCGTGCTCCAATGCAATGAGTAAAAGGTGAGGTCGGATCTGGAAAAGAGAAAATAAGAATTTCCAGGACTCAACATTTGAAAACAAAGACATTATTCCTTTCATGATTACTATATTTTCTTGCAATGTAACTGCTGTAAAGAAATAGTTAACAAGTTTGGTCTTCATTTTGAGCTCCAATATTATGGCCTTCTGCCATGCTAAGCTAAGCATAGTAAATAACTAGGATATATAAGCATATAAGCAGCTAAGATATACACCAGGGGTCTCAAACATGTGGACCCTGCAGTATAATTTATTTTTTAATTAATATTTTCCTCAAATCTTAATGTGTTTAATAAATTTATCCCTTCCTTGTCCCATATTTTGAGAATCAATAATTCTTTTTAAAGATTAGACATAAATTTTGCTTTTTTTGAAGATGTACAAGGTAACCTAAAAAGTCTTTGCTGGTTTTTACATCATGTGGGAAGAAGTGATCACTGATATGCAAATAAGTGCATCACATGCCAGGAAAATAGTGAGGATAGGACCATTGCTCCTGACCATGAATTTAAGATGAGCTTGTTTGCGGTCACATCAAAGTCACTGAATACATCAAGCCTTTGAGGATAATGCTGTGATGGAATGCACCACCATTGGTTCCAAAAGTTTGTCGGGAGATCTGTCCCCTTGTGGTGAACCCCACAGTAGCTAGCCACAGGTCCTGGATGATGAGGCCCTGAAGGTGGCCACAGAGGAGGAAAACAGCTATACCTGTGGTGAGCTTGCCAAATGCTTCCAGGTTTCTGATGAAACAGACTTCACCTGCACCACATATGTAAGGCATACCAGCTGTGCATGTGGGTACCTCACACATTGTCAGAAGCCAACAAGCAACAACAAGTTAAAGCCTGTGTCCCATTGCTTTCTTGGCACTGCAACATATCCATATTTGATCAAGTGCTCACCAGTGGCAAAAAGTGGGTCCTGGATAACACTCAAGTGTATCAGACATTGGTCGTCGCCACAGGATCTTGTGCCTCACACCACAAGATCTCTCCACACATGCAAGATCAAAATCTGACAGACTAGTTGACAAGTGGTGTACTATGAGCTGCTACCAATGGGCCAAATCATCACTGCAGACCTGTACTCGCAGCAGTTGGAATGTGTGCAACAGGTACTGAAGCAAAAGGAGCTAACATTGGTTAATTGCTAAGGTGTACTGTTTCTCCATGACGATGCCAGGGTTTATTTGGCAGAGATACTATATGGCAACCTGGCCGAGAGACACTGCGCTAGCCACCTTACTCCTTGGCGCCAATAGATTAAGATCTCTACAACTCTCTGGATAACAATCTTTGTGGGAAATGAGGCAGACTTGTGCCAGGCAATCACAAATTTCTTTGAGTTCAAGACACCTGATTTTTACTGCCAGGGCATTGCATAGCTGGAGGCACATTGGCAAAAGGTTCTAGATGCCAAATGGGATTACTTTGAGGACTAATTGTATGTCAAATTTGTTGTATACTTTTTTTTCTAATAAATCAAAAACAGCAAGGACTTAATAAATATGAATGACTGGAATAAGTGCGAAATCTTGCCAACTTGCCTTCTCTCCCCCTCTTCCCTCCTCTCTCACAATTCCTATTGCTCAAAATTACCTAACCAATTTAATTCAGCTTTGTGGGTTTATTGAACCTGTACCTAAGGAAATTCACAAAACCCACTAGCAGGAACATGTCCAGCTGCTTCGCTGCAACTATCCCTTAGCACATAATGGTCCTTGTGTGTCCTTGAGTTTGAGATCCTTAGTTATATAGCACTTAAAATTCATTAAAATCTTATCTTTTTTTTTTTTTTTTTTTCAAAGAAAAAATTCCTTCCTTCTTCAAACAAAATTTTGATTGAAACTACACCTCTTAATAAAGATGAATGGCTGTAATACATGCAAAATTTTGCCAACCTGCTACCCATTTCTTTTACACAATTCTTATTGCTCAAAATTACCAAACTGATTTGTGGGTGAATGTAACCCTAAGGGAGTCTGTGGATCCCATGGTTAGAAACCCACCTACAGGGAGTCCACAACCTCATGCTTTTGGTTTAATGCACATTTCTCTTGGTATGCAATGGCTCTTTTGAGTTTGAGAAACCTGATATGCACCATAAATGATTGTGATTGCCCCCCACCCCCCAGAGAACACTCATAGCAATGCACAACTTACAGATATTAGAAAAGAAATTATGGAGAGCTATCATCACTTATAACCTTAAGGAACAAAGAATAAAAATAATTATGTCCAATGTAAATAAAAAAAGCGAGTTAATCTTAAAGACTTCAAAATATTTCATATCTAATAATCAAGAAAAAGAAATGATTATTTTTTTTAAAAATGTGACTTTTTAAGAAACAGGAAAGTTTCATTAGAAACAAAGAAAAGAGTACTAAACTTTTATGTAATATCAGTCCTACTATATGGAAATGAATGTTGGACAATCTCCTCACAAATGAAGAAAAGATTTCATGTAACAGAAATATGAATCTTTAGAAGGATGCTGACAACAAAACAGGTAAAACTAATGTTGACGAACAACAAAGTTTTAAGGAAAATGAATAAAAAAAAAGGACATTTATATTTAGAATCAGAAAGAGTTCAAAATTTCTAGGACACATAATGAGGGCTTAGAGAATTTGACACTCACAGGACATATTGAAAGCAAAAGGGAGAGAGGAAAGCAGCAAGTAAATTATCTAATGAGCTTGCATAAATGGTTGGCAGAACAGGGATTGGGAGGGATAATGAAAAGACAAACCATGCTAAGAGCTACAAAGGATAGGAAGTTGTGGAGAGCCATAATCACCCACGTCCTGAAGGGATACAACACACAGAAGAAGAAGAATCTATTTTAACCAATGTTAAATCTTGTTTGTTATAATTACCGTGTTTTGACCTTATGTGATCTAATAAATAATCTGATTTGATAAGAAAAGAACATTGGGTTAAAGGCTACAAAATTCCACTACTTGATTGACAATGGAACAAAGGCAATGTAGATAAAAAGGATTGGCTTAATGCATTTAGTTATCTAGTACATTTTGAGTTTAGTCTCTGGGCCAGACAATGAAAGTTATATATCCTGATTCAATGGAAAAGCAAAATGCAGCATGACAAGTACAAATTACCTTATACAAAATTAACATGAATAACAAACACCAGAATGAGAAGATCGACCCTTCTTGTTGGAGGGTTTAGTCTGCCTCATTTCCCATGAAGATTGTTGTCCAGGGAATGGAAGAGATGGTAATCTGTTGTCACCGAGGAGTAAGATGGATAGCACAGTGTCTCCCAGCTAAAATGCCATATGGTATCCCTGCCAAATAATCCATGGCATTGTCATGGAGGAACAGTATACCCTTGTGATTAACCAATGATAGCTCCTTTTGTTAATAAAGGGTTTGGTTAAAAATTTCTAGAACATTACTGAATAAAGCAAACATATGAAGAAGGCTGCTGAGCATAACAGCCAAAACATTGCGAGTATAATCAAGATGAGGATATTAGTCTGAATAGATTAATAGTGATAATTCCTCATCTAAAAATACAAACAGAAATTATTTACATTCATCCTAACTTCCTTATCTTTGTTGTTATTATCACAATGTTTTGGACATAATACCCTATGGCCTTTTCTCAGATATCTGTGAACCCAGGTAATGTTCCGGGAATCCAGGAACCCTTTATTTAATCTGAGTTCGTAGATTTGGTGACATAGTAATTGTGAGTTCAATCCATGGGCTGAGTAGTACAAACAGACTTGGTGAAAACAAGACAGGCAGTAACTAATACTAAAAAAGATAACAATATCTATAAATATGGACAGGAGAATGAGAACAACTTACCTCTGTAGATTGAATAAAGAGTTCTGTTTGAAATTCACTGAAGGCTACCAAGAGGCCAGAGAGTACAATGGCCAAAACATTGTGATGATGACAATGAAGATGAAAACATTAGTCTGAATGTAAATAATAAGGTCTCAACCAAGAAATTCAAAAACAGAAGTTAAAGGAATCTTTTCTTTCATCTTTGTCTATATTGATAGTGTTCATGAGTACTTTTATTTATATTTTCTGTCAAAGACTTACCTTGAGACTTTATTCCTTTGTTTCTCACAGTCTCATGTTGGTAGATCAGAAGTGCTACAGCTGCTTGGCAGACTATCAATGGGGAGAGTGAAGATGAAGGGAACAAGGATTCTTTATGTAAAGGGATGAAATTAGTATGCACATTGCCCTTCTCAAATTCATCGTGCTTGGTTAGATTGACCAAAAAGTTGATATTTGTGTTCAAACCAATCACCTACGGGAGAAAAAAAAAATTTTTTTTTAAAAATCATTTCAAATTTTCAAGTTTCTAAGAGAAAATGAAACAAAAATGTGACAATTCACTAATATTGGAGATTAGAGATTTGCTAAGGAAGTCTGGCGTTATCTCCTTAATTATTATTTTTATTTTTTATTTTTTTTTTATTTTAGGGATGATCTAAATACTTATAAAAAAATTATGCATAACAAGCAGAGGAGGAAATTACTGTTTTATTTTTTTTTTTTTACTATAATCTCATCTTCGTAACAAAAAAAAGGAACTTGAAGCTTTTATTTTTGTTAATTCCTTCATCCCAAGACACAAGATGTTGCTGAGTGTGAAAGAATATGAGAAAAAGAAAACATTATAGGAACAATAAAAGAACAGGAATTAAGAAAACAGAAGATAATGATAGACATTGCATTTAAATTTTTAAAGATCAAAGTTGGAAAGTTATAAACCAGAAGGGAGTTCCAAAAGTGAAAAAACTGTTAGCACAAATCTTATGGTTACATCTAGCCATATCAAGTGTAAAATGATGAGACCTTTATATATTATGTCAAATATTGATGTTTCCTTCATCATTACCTTTTTGCAAATATAAACGTTACATGACAAAATTTATCAATTACTTCTGGTTCTTTAAAATGAGGTCTAATATTTATAACTGAAGCCAAACCGAAGAAAAAAAATCATACTACTAGAATAGTAGTATTTTTCCATAAAAAAAGCAGTAAACATGGACCTTCATGCCCATAAAAAAATGGCATGTCAAAAGGATGGTTTTTCACTTGACACCACTATTATTCTTATTTTAACTACCTTCACTCTTCAGCAACGTTCATTGTTTTAAAAAATGATTAGAACTGTAATAAAATCTAAATATGAAAATGAATTTATACATATTTTCATATTGGATAATTTACAACAAAAATATTAAACACTATTTATTAATTAGATTGTTTATTTACTAGAATAATTTTATATTTATAACATTCTAAAAACTAATACAATGCAATATTTATCATTTAACAATTAAACTTATAAACATTTACTAAATTATTAAAATATGTGAACCAACTAAAATCCTTATTATTTACCATTTTATAAAGTAGCCAATGTTTTGTCAACTATTTCAATAAATAGTGTAAATAAACAATCTAATAAATAAATAAATAGTGTTTATTATTAATTTCATTGTCAATTCTCAAGAACAAATGTAATGTATAAATTGACTTTCATATTTTTTACAATTTTACAAAGTTTTATTACAATTCAAAATGATTGCTTTTTAAAACAATAAACATTGCCGAGGAGTGAAAGTAGTTAAAATAATAGTGGTATCAATGGAAAAAACATCCTTTTGTCACTTTGCCTTCTTGCGGACCTGAAGGTCCAAGTTTGCCAAAAAGACAACATTTAGTGTGTTTATGTTCTATGCATGAATAATTGAGAATATTTCTCTACAATTAACTATTGTCACTTGTAAGAAAAAATTCTGGTCAGATGATTAACACATTCAGATACTGTGAAACATGGAACAACCTGAGAGAAGGTGTTTGTTGAATGAAACCAGGATGTTCACATAAGGGTGCCATCTTGCTGCATGTAAACACCACCCTACACTCTGATTTGTTATTTTTTTGGTTTATCAACCTTTTACAGGTTATTTAAAGCCAGAAAATATTTTTAGATTGGAAGAAATTTTTGGAGATAATGATTTTATGATACAAGTCCTACAAATTGACCCATAGCTTAGAGAAGAGGAGGTGGGTTTATACCTTTTCCAAACGTATTTGAACATAAGTGAATATAACAAATCCAACAGGAATTGGAACCCAGCTCTTCAATTTCCAGTTCCAAGCCATTATCCATTAAACCACCGAAAATCAAAACTTACAGCAACTGGTATTCCCAGGTGGTCACCCATCTAGGCACTGAACAGGCTCAATGTTGCTTAACTTTGATGATCATACAAGAACCAATGTTTCAGTATTAATAATGTAATATGTAGTATGGCTGTATACACACCTACTCATACTGCCCACCTGACACAAAAGAATGTCACCTGTAATATGGTTGGGGTGTTTTACCATATCCACCAAAAAATCTTAGGGTTTGTCTTGGATTAGTAAATTTTTGCAATCTACTTTTTGGATATTCATTGTATTCAATTATTTAAAAATATGCATTATAAAAATAATTCAAAACAAATAAAATTCTTCATTTTAGTCATAGTAAATAACAGTTATCAGGATACATACAGCTAAAAGCACTTACATTGTAAGTAGATTTAAAAAAAAATTAGTTAAATGTTCAATTTAAAACAATTGGGATGGTTAGAATCACAAGTGTATCCTGGAAGATTTCTTGACACGATCATGAAGTTAAAATAAATGATGTACTGAAAAATTGTAAATAACATTGTCATGATAAACAATTCCAGCTTTCATGTTCTCATAAACAGAACTAAAGACTTAACAAAATAAGGAACTAATGTTTTCATTACCAATTATTTTGATACACTTGTCTGTATACCATTTGTGTGTTAACACCATTTTTTTGCCTTACTGTTGCTTTGCCTACTTTTGTCTTGCATGCACACATACATTATATATATATATATATATATATATATATATATATATATATATATATATATATATATATACACACACATTAGTGAATATACATAATATCCTACGTTGATAGCATGACTGAGTTTCATACAAACATGCAATCTTCAGGTAGAAAATACTGACTGTTAAGCGTTATGAAACTCGCGTTCTCCTGGTGTTGATTTAAAATTGTGTATTAAGACTTGTTCATTTTATTATTGCTGCCTATAATATTGTAATTATTTTAATTTATATCATTCAAATCCTTAAGTTCAAAAGACGAAGAATTAAAAAAAATATTCTATTAAAAACAAAAAAAAAAGAAAAAAGTTGAATTTAAGTAAATATGCTAGGTGTCAAGGGAGATAACTCCTTTTTTCGCATACAAAATCGTTGTTAGTTGTAATAGAAATAATTGGTGCTTATTAAAATATATTATTAAAGTAAGCTCTCATGATGCCAACATAACTATAGGTTAAGACTATAATGCATTTAGAACCTAACCATATATTTACAAAGGTGAAATTACATATACACACGTCATAAATTAATACATCTGTTATATAACACTGAGCACTGTTTTAGCACCTGAGGAAATAAATATATATATATTACACACATAAACAGAGGGTGTGATGGATAAATATATATATATATATATATATATACGTTCAAGTATATGTGCATATGTTTTTTTTTTTACCATACCCACATTCAGCACTCTTTTGTGAGTCAGTTTTAACATATTTCAAATTCTATGTTGCATTAAAAGACTCGCCTGGATTATACCAATGGATTACTTTTTTTTTATATATATATATATATATATATATATATAATATGGAGGCATGGTAGAGTAGTGGATAGCAGCTGAGATTGAGGAATCGGAGAGCTGAGTTCGAATTCCAGTCGAATCCATTACATTCACTTACATGCTAATACCCTTGGGAAAGGTATTAATCCTCTTCTTATCCCCCCAGCTATGGATAAATAGCAGGACAGACTGGGTTCTATGGCCTTGGATGGCAACTGGTCTAAGAGAAGGACAACTCTGAATTCAATACGAGGGTCTTTTGGGGACCTTGTGGTATGTAGTGCACCAGGTCTCTGCATTCGGTCCTTCAAAAAGTGTGAATGCTTCTGCACAAAGCCTTCACCACTATAATCAAATCATATGTGCTGGTGTCTGGGCTGTTGGTTCCAAGGAACTGAGCTGCTTGACCCTCATATGTTGAATATGATGGGAGAATCCACCACATTATATATATTAGTGTTTGCTTAGTATTATTTTGCTTTGTTCTTTTCTTATTGTAAACTTTTCAATTTTGTTTATTGGCATTTCTGCCAATTACATTTAAACATGGCCAATTACACTACATTTCTTTCATTATATTACCTTTGTCCCATAATAGTTGTTATGCTTGCTTAATTTTCTTTTATTGACATTTATTAAACTGTTACAATTAAATATACTTGTAACAACTTCACATTTTAATTTCACAGTCATAAGTAAGGCATTGTCATGACCTACTCCTACACTATACCTTCTTTTCACTTTTCAGTCAACATAGCACATAGGAACAGACACTAAAAATTTACCACATTAAACACATTCTCATTGGCTAACACCAACCAATGAACCAGCTTCCTGCTAAAATCCAAATCTGTCTGGGAGCCCATTGTCAGGTATAAAAACTGATCCCAGACAGCTCAATGGGGGGGGGGGGGGGATTCCAAGAAAGCATTTCACAAGCCACACGACTCCTCATTACTTAGGTGAACATCTCCACTCTTTGTTGATCTTACATCACAAGAATATCTTATGAGAACACTGTGAACTTTATTTCTACAACCTTTCATCTGCTCAACCACAATTCCAGTGAGTTTTTCAGCTAAGTGTATTTCTCATCATCAAAGTTCTATTATGTATTCACTATTTTAGTAAATGTTATATTATCTAACTCAGTAGTAATCTCAATTTTATATTATTGATTAAGGAAGAAGGAAAATCCTTTACCAGATGATATAGATTACTCCAACAACACACAACCTCAAAATTTCTACTTCTTTCCTCCTATTTCCAATGCTGATCACAACAGCATAAAATAAACTAACTATACAACAGTCAGCAAAAAAATTAATATATACCAATAATTAATATTAACGATTTCTTACCAAACATGTAAAATTGTTGGGATATTGTGTTATCAAGCGGAAAAAATTCCTATAAGATTAGGCCTGTGAATAAAGAAGAACTTTAACATGAAAATCAACTACCAAACAACATTAAGCATAAACCTAATGCTATTTTAAAAAATAAGAAAAAGAATCTAATCTAAATTAGTTAAGTATTTATTTTCAAAATGAATGATTCCAAGACCTAAATTCAAAGTATTTCATTTTCATTGACTGTATATTATTTTATTTAAAATGTAACAATTTTGAAGTAAACTTTTTGCAGAACACATTTTATGTATTAAATATAACAACAATTTGTGGACAAATTTTACATACTAAAAGTAATGACTATTTTGGGACATTTTATATACTGAATCTAATGACTATTATAGAAAAGATGTTATATTTATATCTTCGGTCCTTATGTTATCTTTGCTGCTTAAATGTTTCAAAAACCATTATCTCTTATTCCTTCATCTCTCTCAGTCAACATTTGATCTGTCTGCCTCTCTCAAATAAGAGACATGGTGACCACTCATAAGTGACAATAAAGAACACATCTTGAATTTAATTATCACAGTGTGAAATAACAAATATTTTGTTTTCAGAATAAATTTATTTTTTGTTTCCTTTCTTGGAAACTATCTTGAATACAAGAGTTGTTGATCACTTTAAGTGGCAAGGAAGAACACATCTAGAATTTAATTTTTACAGTATAAGACAACAAATGCTTTGTTTTCAGAATAAGTTTCCCAGTTTTTTGTTTGGAGTTCACATAGTACACAACAATTATTTAAAATGGTAATATTAGATTAAGTAACTTACATGATAATCTAAAAGACTAGATTTCAGCTTTTTTAAAGCAGCTTCTCGATTTTGAGACCACACCACTAGTTTGGCAATCATTGGATCATAATGAACGGAAACTTCATCACCTGAGCATAAAAAAAAACAATATAAAACAATAAAAATGTTTTAATAATTATGTTCGATCTATTCTATCTGTCAGTCATTCTGATCTTAATTCCTGACCACTGACAATCCCTTTCTTCCTGATTTTCAAAGCACAATAGATGAAAGCTGAAACTTACTAAAACATCTTGAAATATTGATTGCTTAATCAATTTTATCTTTTACCCCTAAAAATATTTACTTTATTATTACAGAAAAGGATTAAAGTATAGAAGTAGCAGTAAAGTCAGTGGGCAGCAACAAGAGTAGACAAAATTTTGTTCATCTATTTGGTATTTAAATGCAATCAGTGTTAAATTAAGTAACTAAATTTAAATTAAGAAAATAAATTTTCCTTTAGACAGTAATTAAAGCTTAACTTGTCGTTTTAATTCAATGACATACAGGTATACCTCATTCTACGTTGTTAATTGATTGCAGAGGTTACGACTTAGGTCGAAAAATGACTTAAGTTAAAATAACCACACTATAAACTGCAAACAAGCACACCTCACTCACATTACAGTATTTTTGATATGTACATACAGTATTCTGAATAAAATAATTTATCAGTGATATAGCCTTACGCTTGGCATTAGCAATGAAAGAATGCTCTGGCAATTTTTTCCAATATAATCCAGTTTTGTCAACGTTAAAAATCTGTTCAGAAAGAAACCAGTTTTCTTCAATGGACAATGCTTTAGAAAAATCGGCTGCTGCTTGTTCATCAGCTGATGCACTTTCACCTTGCTTCTTAATAGAGTTATAACTTCTTCATTCTTTAAATCTCATAAACCAGCCTTGACTCGCTTTAAACTCTACATCTTTCTCATCTGGGTATTATTTTATTCAAGTCCTCAAACAAAGACAATGCTTTTACTTGATATGATTTCTTGACTAATAGCAGCATGGTGATGATTCAACCTATCAATTCAAAGAGAAAGAAGTTATTCCATCTCATCAAAGATTTTTCCTCTTTTCCTAGATGTTTTCATATTTCATTCTCTAGGATTTATGATGATTATATTAAAATTTACTGTAAATGCATGTATTTTAATATGATTTTATATATTTTTACTCTTATTTATTGTACTATAACATGATTTTATGTGCTTTTAATGCTTTTCTATTGATATTACGACTTCAGTATTTGTGGTGGACAGATGTAAAGTTGAATAAAATGACTTAAACTTGATTTTTATTTTTCCATATGTTTTTTTTTTGACAAACGACATTGTGGGGAATAAAAATAAAACAGCAAGTAAATTCAAGCTCTCCCAACTGGTATTCCAACCTCGAGTCGTTCCTTCTTGAGTTCTGTCTCAAAATCGCACAAACAAACTTTTATAGCCGCCTACCGTGAACGTCACTCGAAGCACCCCCCACTGGGAAAAAGTAGTTGCTTTTATATTTGTCCATATACCCATAATCCCTTGCGTCTTCATGCAATCCCATAATTCATTGCGTCCCTGTCCCATAATGCATTGCATCTTTATTGCATAAAAATGCAATGCAAGTCCCCCCTCATTCTTTTTACGTTATCTGGCCGAGGACAGATTATGGCAGAGCGGTAAGTGCTTTTTTTCTTCCTCATTTCAACTGCAGTAGCTTTACATGCTAAGCAAATACGGGCTCTTTTTTGGCGGAGACAAGGCAAGTCGCAACCAGTTGTGCTCGTCCCAGGTTCTGTCTCATCATGTCTGCCACAGAGATATAATCAAGAACGACTTAACTCAAAACAACTTAACCCGAGGTATACCTGTATAAGGAAAATTCCATTTCCAGAAATTAAAATTTTAGAAATGGATTTATTCCAAATAAAATGAATCAATAATTTTATGAACACCAAAAACAAAAAAGAACCATACTGATATCTTAGCAATAAAAACAAATAACCATTATTACTTGCTTGCATTGTCTTTAAATCACAATTCTAAATGTACTTATAATTTTAAGTAGAACTCTTAAAATGAGCATTTTGAAGTGAACAATTAGAATAAAAAAATAAACAAACTGCTCTTGATAAATTAGAAAAAGGATAAACTTATCAATTATAAAATCAGAAGATATTTTAACATAGTAATAATAAGTAACCTCATTTATTAATCATCAAGTATTTTTTTTTTCATAAACAGACAAAATCGTGAAAAGAAAAAACACGTAATTGATACATATTGGATATCAATTAAAAGTTATTTACCTTGTCTAACACCAGTTTCAATTCGTACATTAGTATCAGCCTGTGGTGGGGATAAATAGTTCAGAGGACCAGCTCCTGGCATAAAATTATTGTCTGGATCTTCAGCATAAATCCGAGCTTCAAATGCATGACCTCTTAAAACTAAATCTTTTTGTTTCATTGGCAACGGTTCTCCACTTGCAACCTTAACAAAAAAAGAAAAAATTTTTAATCACATCCTATTTTTAAAATCACACATAAAAGAGTTTTAAAAATGATGTATTCTTTGTATGTGCAGGTAGCATAATGGATATCAGTACAGAAAATGGAATCAGTGAGCTGGGTTCAAATTCCGTGTTAGTCACTTCTGTTCATTTTTATACAAATGCCCTTGGGAAAAGCATGAACCTGTCTCTACTCTCATCAGCTAGAAGTTAAATAGTAGGGTAGATTGGGCTCTCTAGTCTTGGATGGCAACCACTCTAAGAGAAGGAAGACTGAATTACAAACCATGAAGAAGGCAATGTGAAAGCACAATCATTTTTCCCAAGAAGTTATGACAATTCACAGATAATAAAGAAAAGAAATCTGTGGGGAGAGTCATGATCACCTATGTGCTGAAATTTTTTTAAATTAAATTTCTAAAATATTTTTTATATGCATAGTTATTGGAACAGATATTAGCATAGAAAGTGAAATCGGTGCAGTGAGTTCAAATTCCAGGTGAGTCTATTCCATTTACTTTCACACAAATGCCCTTAGGAAAGGTCATGAATCTATCTCTACTCCCTTCAGCTAAATAAAATAGCAGGGTAGATTGGGCTCTCTAGCCTGGGTGGTAACCAGTTTAAGAGAAACAAAATTCTGAATTCCTAACCATGGAGAAGGTAATGGGAAACCATTCCACACTCTTTCCTAAGAATGCAAGTCAATTCACAGATAATAAAAAATGTGGAGAGTCATGATTGCCTAAATCTTGAAGAGCATGACATTTAAAAAAAAAAAATAAAAAAAATAGAAAAAAAGAAATTATTTTTATTGGTATGGATGGATAGTTAATGGCAGTCAACAGGCCAAGTTAAAATTCTGCTTGAATTTGTGTTTATTTTCATACCAAAACTCTTGGAAAAGGCATGAATTCATCTCTTGACCCCACCAGCTATGGCTTAAATAGTTAGGCAGACTGCCTTAGTTGGCAAAAACAAAAAAGAAAAAAATGAGAGAAAAAGAAAAACATGAAAAAAAGATAAATGAAAAAGAAAAATAGAAAGAAAAAGAAAAAATAGAAAGAACAGAAAAAGAAGAAAAAAAGCAAAAGAAAAGCAAAAAAGAAAAAGAAAAAGAAAAAAAAAAAGGTTCAAACTTCTGCTGCCTTGTACAAGCTTCAAGAGTAAACCTTGAGGACAAATCCAGAAAAAAAGTTCATAAGACATCCAACAAATTCTTCAACCTCTCTAGTTCTGGCAACTCCTGTAATAACATTGTATCAGCATGCAACCTTCCTTTGGACAGCATTGGTGGCATGGAAAGAAAAGACTTGCTGTATAGGCAACTGCTTGTCTTTTATATAACCTTGTCAAGGCAAGCATCCTGGAGGGGAAGCAAGACTTTCAAGATAGAGAGACCTGATCTCACAGCAATGACAGTTGCCATAGCAACATTAATGTGTGACATAAGACTGAGATTTTATCAGTCACTCCAGAATTAAAAAAAATTTCTTGAAATGTCCCACCAATCTCTCCAGAACAAAAAATCTTCTTATATCTCATCAACCAGTTCTATGATGCAATATATTACAATACTTTTTTTTAGACCGATGTACATCTTGTATTCTGAAAGGCTCTTTAAAAAAAAAAAACAAAAAAAAAACACACACAAAACAAGACAAGACACTGAAAGGATAGAAAAGAAACTTACCTTAATTTGCCACTCAACAAGATCAGTGTTAGTGATCATTTCTGTCACAGGATGTTCAACCTGAAGACGTGTATTCATTTCCATAAAGTAGAATTTATAATCTTTATCCATTACAAATTCAACAGTTCCTGGAATTTAAAAAAAATAATTTTTTTAAAATTCAATTTTTTTTTAAATTATTTAAATTTAAGTATTTTTTTTTCATTTGACAGTAAAAAAAAACATTTCAGTTGTAGCATACTAGTTTTTTTTTTTAAAGCCATGACCCTTCAGGATATAGGTGATCATGACTCCACAGAGCCTGTTTCTTTATTATCTGTAAATTGACATAACTTCTTGGGAACAATAATAGAGTGACACTTGTTTTTTAATACTACTACTACTACCCTTCGGAATATAGAGAATCACGACTCTCCACACACTCCTCATTCTTTATTATCAGTAAATTGTCATGACTTCTTGGGAATGATATTTGAATCGTTTCCTGATGCTGTCACCACATTTTGAATTCAGAAGAATCCTTCTCCTACATTGACTGCCATCCAAGGCAAGAGTGCCTAGTCTAGCCTGCTATTTAACTCATAACTGGGTCAGTGACAAGAGATGAATTCATGCCTTTCCCAAGGGTATTTTTGCAAAAGTGAACAGATTAAGTTGCAAATTGAACTCGGCTTGCTGATTTCAATTTCTATTCCACTAACCACTGCACTTCACCTGATATTTATTTCTTATCATATTCAATTATGATTTGCACTTAAAAACAAAAAAATCCAGTTTAAGTATAACAATAAAAACTTAAATGGATGTTTGAAATTTTCTTTATCATAAAGAACAGATTTTCTTTAGAAGACTATGGTATGTATTTGTATTACTATTGGTATTATTACGTGTGAGACCTATGAAATAGTCATAATACAATTTTAAGATTATAAATTGTTGTTATCACTACATTTTGGTCATTATGTTATCCAGCCTTCATCAGGTCATTCTGAGTAACCTTCAGAGAATTTTGAACTGTGCCTTTTATTTAATTTACAGGGGTAGATTGTTCTTGTCCTGCTGTCCATGTCCAGGGATATATCATCTTGTTATTATTTAATATTGCTCAGTTATTGCTCACTCCATTTTCACTGAGTTCATATACACAATTGCCAGCCCAGGGATTGAAGTCACAGTTACAAAGATAAGGACAATATTCACATGTAAGTAATGTAATCAATAAGCTGTATTTGATGGCATGAGATCCCCACCTTCAACCCAACATCTATGAACAAAAGGGTCTATATTAGAAGAACCCTTTAAACTCACTCATAATACACTGAAACAAAACAGGCCACAACTTTTTAAATGCCACCCTAATTAGAAAAAAACAATTCTTTCTACAGGAAATAAAAAATTATCTGCACTCTTTTCTAAAGATATGTTATGGCGAAAGTGTGAATAATTTTTGACTTACCCTCATACAATAAATGATAAATATTTTACCATCTACAAACACATGATAAACACACTTTATTATATCCACAACTTTTATAAAATCCATATTTAAGAGCCTAGAACACATCTACTTGCTACCACAGCTGGTGTAGCTTAAACTGTTTCAACCCCACACAAAATGTCCCCAAATCAACATGCAGGCAACCACCAAACATGGATAAAAATGCCTACTACACATACAAATGAATATACATTATAATCCCACATAGATAAACAAGCATTATGATACAAACATGAATTATACACACACACATAGTGCTTGTCAAAACTGATGCTCACATGAGGTTTTTTTTAATCACTGAAAAACTAACAACCCAAAAGTTAAAAATACCAAAATTTTCCTTTTCTCCTCCATATTTCATTGTGATGAAGATTTAAGTAAAACATGTTAGATTGATAAATATTTCCCATTTGTTCCTCATCCTATCATTTTGTCAGATTCCTATATATATATAATATATATATCTCCAAAAGTTATATTGAAACAAAATGTACAATTTTGTAGTAGTAACTTACATGTTCTAATGTAACAGTGTATTATATATATATTTATATATATAGGGATAGATAAATCAAACGACCAGATATAAGCAAGCATATCTTTCTATATTATTCTATTTTTTAAAAAATGTAACTTACCTGCATTGCATTTACTATGCTTTTTGTCCAATTTTATTTTTGGGCTACATGCAGCATTCCTCCCATAAACCATTTGTTTACTTTTAGCAACATAGGCCATAAAAACACAGTAGCGGCCATAATATAAGGAACGGAAACAACAAAGACATAAATATGTGTATTACTTAAAAAGTAATGCATGATTAGCAATGAAATTTTTACCAAATAAAGATTATAATAAATATATAAATATACATATTATTCCTCACAGGTAGCATGACTCAGAGTTTTATGCACAATGCAATCTTTAGGTGCTGAGTATAGACTGACCATTACATAATTTAAATTTTAATAAAGGTATCTGGTTAATGCAATGCTGTCACAGTCCATAGATTATAAGGGAATTATGGGTTTCTATTTATTTAAAATAATTGGAAGCGAATTTAATGGGACAAATAAAATGAAAGCTATCAACATCTGAGCTATACCCATAGTAACATACAACTTCAACATTACCAAATGGAAGTTGAATGACATTAAAAGATTGGACACCAAGACCAGAAAAATGCTTACTCAAATGAGGATGCACCACCCAAAATCAGATGTTGATAGGATGTACATACCAAGAGCTTTAGAAGGCAGAGGTCTAATCCAACTTGAACTCTAAAAACTACAACAATCGCATTGGAAGTATACTTCACAAAAATCAATGATCCTCTCCTACAAATATTAAAACACCAAATCCACTCCATCAACAAAGAAGCTGCACTTCTCAAGAAACAGCTTAATATACCTAAAATCCTACCAACAAAAAAACAAAGTGAATATCATCTATGCCAAATTAGTAAAACAGAAAGCAAAACAACTTGGTTATATAAAATTACAAAAAAAAAAAAAAAACTGGGAGGATAAGGCGTTGCATGACAAATACCTAAAAAAAATGAAAGAAGCAGATGTGGACCAACAGAAAACACATCAGGTGGGATTTATGTTTTATATTGTGGAAAAATAAGTAAAATTACCTGCGTTTGTGTGGGTTTAGGAGTTGGGTTGATCCTGGCTAAGTTAAGGAAAACAGGCAGTCAAGAGGCTCTGGTATCATGCACCTAGTGCAGAAAGTTCAATGCAAGACCTGTGCTGCCTCCCAATGTTGCCAGCCTGCCCATTCTGTACATAGAAGTTGAGGTTCCCTTCCAAAATACTGGCATCAACTTCACAGGACATCTTTGGGTTAAGGAGGGAATTACAGAAAAAAAGATGTATTTACTGCTCTTCACCTGTCTGAGTGTTCGAGTGGTTTATATAGAGGTGGTGCATCTGGTCCTTTTTTCAAGTCCTTGTCCAGTTTACCAAACTCTATGGAATTCCTTTCACTCTATACAGTGACAATGCCAAAACCTTTCTGGGCAGTGGCAGGTTATTCAGCCGTCTTTCTCTTTACCATGTACCAAGAGAAATTTGGCACGTGTGACATTAGACTGAGTACCATTCCTCTTTTCTCTCTCTGGTTTGGGGGTGCCTGGGAGAAAAGCATCCAAACCTTAAAGAGGCAAGGTCAACTATTTCTCTCTCCTGACAATCATATCGGATATTCAGAGGGCAGTAAACAACTGTCCTCTGACTTACCGTGAGTCTGCAAACAGGGAATTGGAAGCAATAACACCTAACATGATCATTATACCAAATAAAAACCCCCATTTTGCTAGGGAAAAAAAAAATCACCCTGTCTCAAAGTTGATCATCATGGATTGCCACTTGAGATACTCACACTTACAGTACTGGACCGGCTTCTAGCTATTCTTACAGTCGAAAGGGATTTTTGACAATATTTAAAATAAATGGGATTAATTTTATTTTTTTAAAATTTGGCAATCACCACTTTGCTGATCATACCATGTTTTAAAACCAACATGGTATTTATTTTGCATATCTAAAAATACAAAATTTAAAACAGGGTGTTAGATTTACACTTTATTAGGACTGAACCCTTTATTTAATCTATAGTAGACTGTTCTAGTTAAAGGGTTAAGTTCCCTGTAGTTTACCTAGATCAATATACACCTGATGAAGATCAGAGAGCACTACTACTAAAATACTGTGATAACAACAACAATGAGGACAATAGTTTGAATAAAAACAGTGTAAATAATGATAACTCCTCATTTCAGAAATTTAGACAGAAGTACTTAGATGTTATTAAGTCAGATTTTGCAATTCGATAGCTTTGGAAAAAATAAAAGCAGCATTTGTCTATGAGAAAATATTGACTGTTATAAGTATCTGCTACTCGTGTTGGATGTTTTTGTATTCGGTCATATTTATTGTTACTGAATGAAATTTTCCCAAATATGTGAATATTATGAAATGTTCATAACAAACATAATTTTTATTCATAATATTCATTGAAATTTCTCCTACCTGCACCAACGTAGTTAACTGCCTTTGCAGCACGAACTGCTGCCTCTCCAATTGATTTTCTTACTTCTTCAGACACTCCAGGCTGGAAAAAAGAAGTAGCCACTGAAATATTTGTAGAACAAATAAGGAGGGTAAACAAAGAATCTGTAATGAGGCCCAATAAAAATAAAATATATAAACAAAAAAATAAAAAGAATTAAAATTAAAATAAGGCATTTGCATTTTCCTTTAAAACCCTTATCTCTTTCTCTCTCTCTAAACTTCTCTTTCTATACTTCTCTCAACCTACAAGAAGGCAAGCCTCAAATAAAAAGAGGAAGAAGAAAAGACCGAACATGGCCAAAACACTGGAAGTTTGCAGGAGATAAGCCTACTTATCTGTGACTAAAAAATACCAAAAATCAAGGAGGCTCCATACATAACTTCAGTTATAAAATAATGTAAAGAAAGGAATGCTGGAAAACAAAATAATTTGACCAATCAAAAAAATTGGCACAAAGAGATTTTTTAATGTTAGTTAAAACCAAAATTCCAGCCACCTCTGGCTAGTGACAGAAGAGGATGGAACAAAAGAACACTACAACATAGAAACCAGCCATGTGTGACACATGAAGAAACAGTTAAGAGGTCATCTGTTAATGATATTTCTGCCCTGTTCAGGGGGAAAAAAAAAACAATAAATTGACACTGACCTAATTTCTCACATTTTCTACTCCTCCTATCATAGTCTAACTTCTTCAAACTAAAAAAAAAGGAAGTTTATCTGGATTACTACCAATATATGCCTTATTAACAAACTTTTTTGCTATACCGAATACCAAAGGACTCATTGATCACTTTAAAAAAATAAATAATATATTATTTATTTCAAACTCTTGAGTTAGTTCATTTATCCGGCAATACAAAGTTTCTGATAAAAAAAATTATCCTACCACCTATCCATACTAGTGACCTGATGTGAACACACTTGTCACAAATCTTTTCATAAGATACATTCAATCAGAATATCAAGCTCTGCCTCATTCACCTTTCTATAAATACAATAGCACCAATTAGTATCTTATCTTTTCCATGACAAAGGTTTGCTTAAAAAATGAAATAAAGAATTCATATTTATTTACACTCAGACTAATGTTTTCATCTTTGTTGATATTATCATGTTTCAGCCTTTGTACTCTTCTTCAGGGGTTTGACGATTTTGGGTAACCTTCAGGGAATTTCAAACTGAATCCTTTATTTAATCTATAGGAGATTGTTCTCCTTCCTCTAGTCATATCTTATTTTTTTTAATTTTTTTTATTACTATTTATCAATTATTGCTGTTCTTATTTCCTCTGAATCTGAAGGATTGAACTCACAATTACAAGCCCACAAAATTTACAAATTACTAAGTTATTGTCTTGTAGAACTTAAATCTTACAGCCTTAAACTCAATGTCATTATTACCTGCCTGCCTTGCTGCTGTCATGTTTGACCTTCTTTACTGTCGTTTCTCTTTGCTTGCTGCAACTGAAGCTTTGCTGTCGTTTCTTTTTCTTTCTTTACCATATGGTATTTATTTCTATTCTAGGCCTACTCAGGAAGCTTTCATGATGAGAACATTAGTCAGAATGTAAATAATGATAATCCATCATCCCAGAAATTCACACAGAATTACTGTATGTTAAAGTGTTGGCAGTAGTAAACAGAAGAAATGTTTTTAATATTTTACAATGCCAGTAAAAAATAAAAACAAAACACAATGATGGATCACTTGATTCGTGTGGTTTTCTTTAATGAGTATAGACAAAATAAAGGAGGAGATAGTATTAAAAAAAAGAAAACAATTAAGAATACTAAACAATTAAATCCATTCTTTAAAAAATAAATTGATACTTATCAACCTGCAGGTAACAAAAAATATAATAGATCTAAAAAAAAAAAATAAATCTAAAAACAATTCTGTAACAACCAAATTTATATAAAATATATGTAATAATTTATTCATAAATCATATTTATTTCTAGTAAGAGATAATACTCTTATGCCATCATAAAGTTATGTTAAATCATGATTTAGATATGCTATGATAAAAAATTATAATGTAGATATGCCATGATACAAAACTCATAATGTAGATATGCCATGATACAAAACTCATAATGTAGATATTCTACGATAAAAAAATCCTAGATATGCTACAATACAAAAATCATAATGTAGATATGCTATGACATGAAAATCATAATGTCGATATGCTATGATAAAAAAATATCATAATGTACAAGATACAATGGGTAAATTATTGCCATTTTATATTTTTAATTTCGCACATGTACATTGTTTGTTTTTTTTTTTTTTTGATTTTGTAGACTGCACAGGATAGTAGGGTCAATTGGGAACCATCTGTGAGAAAAAGAGCACCATGACACAATTCACTCCACCAGAAATTTGGAAATGACATGCTGTACTGCTTAACATTCACAGCAGAAGCTCCAATACAAATATTTGAGTGTGTTTGGGTGTCAATCTGAGGACAGTGCAGAGGATTCAGAAAGAATTGAATGAGTCTAATGGTGATTATGAAGGTACAACAGCTCAGAAAGCTCACTCTGATCATTCTGATAAGAAAAAACTCCCAAATTTGTTGGTGAGGGCCTCAACCTCAATATGGAGGCCTATATCAAGTGCTTTGAGGAGGTAGTGCTGCCCTAGGTCAAGAGGGTGGCTGCTGGAAGACCCTATATCTGGCAACAAGACTCTGCACTATGTCACACAAACAGGAAAACCCAGTCATGACTGTCAGACAATTTCTGTGACCACATCACCCCTTATATCTGGTCACCTAACACTCCAGAATGCAACCCCACTTTATTATTATGTGTGAGGTGCAGTTGAGCAAGAGACCAACAAAACTCCTTGTAATACCAAAGATGAACTGAAGGCAAATATTATAGCAGCATTCACCAACTTAAACAAGGAGATCATTCAGAAGAGTTGCAGGAGATTACAAAGTCATTTGGAGGCTGTGGTTGATGCCAATGGCGATTTTATTGAATAAATTTAGTCTTTAGTATTTTAAGATATTTTTGTGTAATATTGGTAAATATAGCTGTTAAAAATGAAATGTCATTTAAACAACAATTTATCCATCGCACCGTGTGTGTGTGTGTGTGTGTGTGTGTGTGTATATATATATATTTCATTAAATAATATAGACAAGTTTTGTCTATTTATTTTAAGTAAGTTCCTTTCATATTGTCTGACAAGCTTAATCACATTATCATTGAAAGACGAAAGGAAAACACCATATTGATACATGTTTAAATCCAATCTAAGCTTTTGGCTTACACAAGCCATTATCAAAGATGACAATTTCAATAAATCAAACAACAATGAACGAAACAACAATGATAGTCTGCCCTTGCTGCATGAAAATTTCAAGTAATGACAAACTCGTATATATGAGTTTGTCGTTATTTGGAAATTTTTTTTAATTAATTTGGTCCTAAGCTTTCAGCTCATGAATAATCCTCAAAGTGGTTATACAGACATGAAACAAACATATGCACCATCAAAGATGATATTTTGTTATTTTGAAAAAATGATAATAAAAAATATCCAAATGTTGGACAATTTTTGTCTTTATTTTCACCAGAAAATTTGAATAATTAGAATTTGAACATTAGAATGGTTCATGATCAGACATAATAGACATTCATTGTCTGTTATATTTAAGAATATATGTTTTTTTTATATATATATATATATATATATATATATATATATATATATTAAAATCACCTACAAAAAAGACTGAATAAATTATTCTTTCCTAAATGATTTTATTAATCTACTAGGTACACTGACTTTTTATACATCCCAAAGGTTAAACCGAGGTGGAGATCTAACTTTATCATTTTAAGATGTTCAGTGCCAAAGAACATTAATGTTTTTATTACTTTATATGATATTAACATCTCCTTTTTGAAATCCATACTTCGTCTTACTTTTGTCCTTTGCATACTGCTGTGGATAATATCTGCTCTTCTGTGAAGCTACAGGGAACTCCCACATGTATTCTTGGGCTGCACACATTAAAATAAATGTCGGTGTTGAGAATATCTGTTTAGTAAGAAGAACCATTTGGGTCCTTCATGGTGAAGCAATGATCAGTAAGTGAGTCTAGCAGAACATTACTGCTATAATGAGTTCTATTTTCAATACATTTCCCACACTTGTATAGAAATTATGCTAAACTGTATAGTTATCAATAAAATTAAAAATAAAGCAATGGCAAATCAAATATTTCAACAAGGAAAACTGCTTCTTCATCCAAGTGAAGATGGTAGCAAAATTTTTATAATTACATTTCAATAACAAGTGTAATAAGTAAATCTATTTACCGCAGGAGCTTCTTCGATGACTTTCTGGTGACGTCGTTGAACGCTGCAATCTCTTTCAAACAAGTATACATAGTTGGAGTGTTTGTCTCCAAATACTTGGACTTCAACATGTCTGTGAAAAAAAAAAAATTAAAATTATTTCACTACTTGGAAAATTCAAAACACAACATTTTTAAAAAAATCTGCTCCATGTTGAAATTATCCCTAAATCACTTTGAATATCTCAGTCATGTATTTATTTGCTACATTAACATCTACAACCCCAAAACCCAACCCCCACAAAATGATTTTTTCTAAAATATTGAAATAGCCTCTTATCAATGCTTTTCGTTGATCATATCAAGATTTAGAACCATAGATTATCAAGAAAAACAAGTTAAACCAATGATTCAGTGAAGTTCATGATTGTCCTTCAGGTCCCTAAGAAGACCGTTTTGCAATTCATCAGTGGATGCAGAGGCTGCTCTGCAAACCAAATCTAGATACATGATTAATTTGATTTTTATGGCTTATCAATCTTTTAATGGTTATTTAAATCCAGAAAATATTTTTAGATTGTAAGAATCTTTTTCTGGGAGATAATAATGATTTATTGATACAAGTCTTACTAATTAACCCATAGCTGGAGGGATAAGAGGTGGATTTATACCTTTATCAAGGGTATTTGCATGTAAGTGAATATAATGAACCTGACTGAAATTAGAACTCGACTCTCTGATTTCCAATTCTTAATAATTATCTATTACACCACCCACACATCTAAGCTTACTGCACCTGGTATTCTCAAATGGTCACCCCTCTAGGTACAGTCCAGATTTGACATTAACTTTGGTGATCATATAAGATCTGATGCTTCAATGTGATGGCTGTAAGCTACTGCAGAGTCTGAAGCAGCACGGACACTGGAAGTTGGTGGTTGTGTCCAATGCCAAAGTTGCATAGTAGCGCTGTTCTTTCTGAGAAATGACTTTTTGACTTCAGGTTTCTTTGATGATTGCAGCACACTCCTTTACCTCCTGTCTTAATGTCTTCTCCCACATAGAAACTCTTCATACATTTGAAGTTAAAAGCAACTAAACAGCATTTTTATCCAAAATAAGGAAAAAATATCTTTGCAATATTTTATGTATCAAATCTGATCTTTTTGAAAGAAAAGGCATGCAATTGAAATGTACAAAAGCAATAGGTATCTACTTAAACACGCATAGTCACTAAAAATAATGTTTAGAGCAGAGATTCCCAACCTTTTTGGAGTCATCATCCACTTTCAGATGGGAAAAATTTTCAATCCTCCACTTGCATAGTAAATATTCAAAAGCATACAAAAGTTGTTTAGTAAAAGTTTGTTACTTGTTCATAAACTCTTTATGATGTAGTAAAAAAAAATATCAAGGGGAGGTAACAAATAACATTGATTTATGCAGCTGCTACTACTGTATTAAATAACAAACAAAAGCAAACTTGACCATTGAAAACTATATATATATATATATATATATATATATATATGTATATAATTAATAAACAATAAAATCCCAAATTACCTTATATGGGGAATAGCCTTTTTCAGCAGACAAAGGTATCAGTTGTCTGTTTTATCAACCCCGGTGTGGATATATATATATATATATATATATATATATATATATATATATATATATATATATATATATATATATACACACACACACACATGTGTGTATGTATATATATATATATATATATATTTTACTTTTATACTTTTATGGTTAGAGTTAGTATTGCAGGTGTTGACAAAATATTAAACAATTTTTGTTCATAATTATAAAATTAAAAAGAATATATAGTACTACCAACTCAAAAAAATTCAGTGAATATTTTTTATTATATCTAATACTGAAGAACTATTTGAAAGTTAATATCAGCTATGTGCCATGTGTGATACACACTTAGGTGATCATGATATACAACTGACCGCAGTAGGTTGCTATTTCTTTCTGCGCTAGACCAGTTGCCATCCAAATCTAGAGAACCCGATCTGTCCTGCTATTTACCCAGAGCTGGGGAGAGAATAAGAGGACCTATAGCTTTCCCAAGAGCACATAAGTGAATGTAGTGGATTTGACTGGATTTCGAACTCTCTCAAAGTTAATGACCCTTTCCAAAAATATCGAAAATACCAAATATTCCTTGTTTGCAGATAGTTATATCTTATCTAGGAATGGGACCCATTTAGCCTCCTGTTTTGTTTTGTTTTTGTTATATCTCCTTTGAATACTTTTTCCCAGTAACATATGTTGTAATACCATTTTAATACTCAAAATCATATATCTTACACCAAAATTTCGAATTCTCCCACCATTTTCTGTTCAGTTGCTCATCACCCACCCAACAGTTGATTGCACAGGTTGGGAAACCCTGGTTTAGAGTAAAAAGAATCAAAAGTGTTTGACCTTATTTATTTCTAAGGAAAGAAACACTTTTCAAAGAAAGAGAAAATAAAGCAAAAATTAATGATGTAAGGACAATGAGTGAAAGATGGTATATGAAAATAATGACAATAAAATCAAATACATATTCAGAAGGTGTCAACCAACAACCTGTCTATATGGGCCATGCATGAATTGTATTTATTAAAAGAAATAAGAACACAATTTTGAAAATGTTTTTCTTACATGCTCAAGACACTGAACTGCCACATCTGGTCTAGTTCTTCTGCTATGTATCTAGGGATTCTTGAGAAAATCCAAAGAAAAATCTGCAATGTCATCGGTCCTGACCTGGCATCTCAACTTCAATCACTTTCCCACTGCCACAACATAGCTTGCCCATGCCTTTTCTATAAATATTTTCATGGTAATTGTTCAGATGAGCTCTTCTCTTTGGTATTTTTGGTAGATTTTGCTTTCATATTGTAAATACTCATTGGGGCTAGTTTTTAGAATTGTTGTTTTATTCCTCTCCCCCCACAGACAATGAATTGTAAATATGGGGACTAGTTAGTATTTTCATAGAGACAAAGAGGTATTATGGTGATTGTAGTAAGAAAGGTACATATGAATGTGTTGTTTTGGTGTAAGGAATATTGTTTGTATGATTGGGTCAGCGTTTGTGGCTAGCTAAGTTATAGTTAAGACAGAAGAAGACCATCCTTTCCCCAATCCCCCCTTTGGCCATGTGCCACATTTCTGTGCATAACAGAATAAATATCGCTCTTCTCTTTGGTATCTTGACTTTACGAATTTAAGCAAAGTACTAGATTGACAACTAGGCTTCATCATTTTAATGTTGAAATTGCTAGATGTTCTATGCTAATTGATTCTTCTTTCAAACTTCTTCCCTGTGGAACTATTTCACATCTTGCTTTCCTGTCAACTATAATCTTCAAAAATGTAAATTCAATGTCAATCTGTCTTCTTAATTTCTATTCTTTTATTGTCCTTTATTTCTGAATAATGTTTTTCTCAGATTCTTTCACTCCCAGTAACCCCCTTGCATCTTAGTGGTTTTATTGTCTTGCTGAAGGTAAAATGAGTGGAGAAAAAAAAACAAAAAAAAACTGACCTTGGGTCTACTATGAACTTTTCTAACAACATTACATCATCAGCAAAAGATTTCATGGCTTCCCTGCGAGCAGATTCCAACTGTTGATCAAAATCTTCTGGACTCATAGATATTCTCATTCCCTACAAGAATATACAAAAAATGAACACCATTTGAAAAAGTACAATTAACAAATGAGTTTCAAGTTAAATTCTCACTTGTGGCTTTATGTCATGCCAATCTAAGCTTTGTAAACATTTATGTAGGGAGAATTCCATTGATCAAAACAAATATGTCATAGACATGAAGTCAATAACAAAGTTAAAAATCAAAAATAAGTGTAAATAGACAAAAATATTAGAACTGATAAATAATTTTTGTCTTTCATTCTCAATAACCTTTTGCATCTTTGTGACTTTATCATCATTTTTAGGGTGAAATGAAAAAAAAAAAAAATAACCAAAATAACCAATTGGACATTATCCTGAGTAAAGTCTACCAATGAGAATGAACTATGGCAAAAAATTTGAATTCCAAAAAAGTACTACGTCTGTCCTATAACAGTTGTTACATTTCATGCACATTTCATTCACTAAATATAATGAGTATTATAGGAGAGAGGAAGTATTTTATATTCATTATTACTGCCTCAGTCCCATAACAATTGTTACACAGAGACACACATTTAATACATTAAATGTAACAACTATTATGGAACAGAAGAAGCATTTTATATTCTATTCAAGCCTGCATAAAATACAGCCCACAAATTGCAGGAATCTCATAAGACTAACCGGTATGACCTACAAGAGGATTTTTAAAATAGTAACTTTTTTGTGAACATCAGAATAAATTTAATGATTGATCACATATAAAAAAAATTCAATTTTGTGGAAGCTTAGCTTTATTTAAGCAATATTTCATAGTCTTTGAATCTCATTAATCCTTTCGACTCTCCACAAAAAAAAAAGAAAAAAAAAAACTTTGCTATCCACTTCTGCATATATCTGTTTCTATCTCAATCATATTCACTATTTTACTCTGAAAAAAAATTGTGGTTTGCGGCTAATTTTCAGTGATCAATGTGGCTCCTTACAATGTTTTAATTTTGCTATTTATTACTATCTCTGTTCCATAATAATTGTTAGATTTGCATATACGTTTCATGCATCAAATGTAACAAGTATTATGGGACAGAGGAAGTATTTTATATTATGCTTATTACTACCTTTGTTCCATAATAGATGCTACATTTTGTTGTGTCATAAATAAGAAAGGTTGACACACATAGAAATTAAGTAGTTTATTCTGGAGAATAATATGGTATACAGTTGAGAATACAGACTAATGTAATAAACAGTTAATTGTTAACTCCTCTCACTCAGTAAGAGAGAGTGCTGTTTAAATAGTCTTAGACCAGTCCATTTTGTGAGGCTGTTCAGCTACTCCACAACACATTTCATACACCAAATGTAACAAGTATTATGGGACAGAGGAAGCATTTTATATTATGCTTATTACTACATTTGTCTTGTAATATTTGTTACATCTACATACATGTTTCATAAACTAAATGTAACAAGTATTCTGAGATTGAGGTAGTTATTTAGATACTATTAAAATTTTTAAAATATGAAGTGGAGCAGGCAATTTTAGATTCATTGCTTAACTTTTGATATTTGAATACTGTAGTGATATATTTGTATGTGTGAGATTGCCTGACTTACATATCTGAAAGAGGAGAAGATAAAAGATTTACATGAAGTAGCAACAGTAGTAGTATTACAGCAATGCTCCTATTTGGACTAAAAGCAGTGGCAAACAAAATTTACACTTGTAAATGACAGGTCGTCATTACTTGCAGAAGTGAAAGGAAATAGAATGAATTTAAACAAGGCAATATATTCATCTTCTTTTTATATAACTGAGTAACAAAGGAGAAAAAATATGCTAGTATGCTTGTAAAAGAAGACATTACAAGTTATGAATTGTGTGGGTGATACACGTGTTTGAAAATGCAGTCACATTGGGAAAAATATCCTGACAGACTCCCCAGTGGGTGTTATCACTACAACATGTTGGGGGGAAAAGAGAGGAGACAGAAAGCGTTTTATCTTTATATCTGCGTAACTGTGCTCTCTAATGACATTTTGACAAAGCCAAGTGGCAGTAACCCACTCTAGTTGGCTGATTTTATTTAGCAGCATATCAACCTCTATGGGTTATTTAATGCCAAAATCTAAACATTTTGAACACAATTTTATGGCTTCAATTACAGATAAAATATATTGTTGTTGATTTTACTATAAATTATATTGTTGATAATTCTACTAGAAATATTGTTCATAATTTTTAAATATAAAAATGTATTGATGGCATCTTCACCATAAAATATATTTTTATACTTTAAGTGTTTTGTTTGGGGGTTCACTATTTGCCCCTAGCTGGGAACCTAACAGGTGCTACCACACCAGGTAAGGGTGGACCTGGGAACAACATCAATTAAGATCTCTAATCTTCCAATCAGAGGCTTTGTTGGCAGATGTAGTTTACTGTCATACTCAGGACTACCAACAGTAGTCAATGTCACATTAGTCATAGATGTGCTAAGTGATTTGTGAATAACACTGAATGCAATTTAATCCATTACACTAAATACAATAAAATTGAAAAACTGATACAAAAATCTTAAATTTCAACATTGAATAAGAAATTAACAGAAAAAATACAAGCACTTATAAAAACAGAAATTAAAAACTTTCAATTGAAGTTATCAATTTAATATTAAAATTTTTTAAATTGGTTTTAGTAAAAAGTAAGTTTCTTTATGTTTATGAACTGAAAAAGATTTCAAAAGCAAAACTGGTAATGGTCCAAGAGGAAAGAAAATCACCTAGTATAATATAAAATGGAGATTAAAACTTACTTTTCCTCCTCCTCCACGAACAGCTTTAATCATGACAGGGTAACCAATTTTGGCAGCTTCTTCTTTTAGACGACTGTCAGACTGATCTTCACCATGGTAACCTTCAATCACAGGAACTCCAGCCTTAGACATAATTGTTTTTGATGTACTGTTTAAAAATTATATAAAACAGAAGGTACAAATATTTAGTATAGCTCCGGTGTAAAACTGTTCTCCCCTCCCGAGTCTATTAATATTTTCTTTGCATAGGACCTCCAGTCTGTTGTTGACTTGGGCAAGAAATGGCTCAAAAACAAAACTGCTCTCTTTTACCCGCCACAGAGAACCCTCCCTGTTTCCCATTAGAATGTCTGATGCTCAACTCCACGAAAGAACCTCTCTATGACTGCTTAGATCTCACAATGTCCGCTGACCTGAGATGGAACAAATACATTGAATCAATAGCTTCATCTACTGCAAAGAAAGTTGGTTCTCTGTGTCATGCCAGAAAGTTTTTCTCACCTGAGGCCATCCTTCAAATCTATAAATCAACCATTCACCCTTGCATGGAATACTTCTGCTATATATGGTATGCAGCCCCCGCTGTTCATCTTAAGGTTTTCGACAAAATCCAGAGATGGATATGCAATGCGATTGGCCCTGATCTGGCATCACAGATATGTCATCACTTTCCTCTGTCATTTCTACAAATACTTTCATGGTAACTACTCCAATGAGCTACTTTTGCTATTTCCCAAACTGCATGAATTTAAATGTGCTACTAGGTTGGCATCTCAGTCTGACCCTTTCACTGTCAAAATGGTTAAATGTAACTGTCTCTTCTACTCCAATAGCTTCATGTTTCACACTACCTGTTTATGGAACTCCCTTCCTCTTACTTGCTTGCTTTCCTGATAGCTATAATCCCCAAATATTCAAATGCAATGTCAATTGACATCTCCAGATGCCTTGATCTATTCCCTGTCTTTCTCTTCATCCTTTCCACTTTCATGCCACTTTATTCTTGCTCCCACTCTCTGTAACCCCTTGCATGCTAGTAGCACTCCCACCTTGCTTGGGGTGAAAAGTTAAAAAAATAATATATATATATATATATATATATATATATATATACATATATATATATTTTTTTTTTTTTTTTTTAACGTACGGGCAAAGACAAGACTTGTCAAAGGACATGTGAGCTTGTAGGAGAGTTATAACTATGAGTAAATAATTATAACCCCCACCCCCAACATTTACATATACAAAAATACTTGTAAAAAGGAGAAATAGCAAGACATGGAAACCACAAAAAGTATTAATTATTATTTGAATGTTATGAGGTGTTGGAGACATGAGAGACAATAATACTGAGTAAAATTGTGAGTTTGGGGTCAAATGTAGATCAAATATGAATCAGAATACAACAGAATGATAAGATAAAGAATAAGTAAAGTGTATACAGTTTTTCTCACAAGTTTTTTAACTCAGCTCTCCAATTTTTCATCCGGAGTCGCTGTTATATTACCTGCACATCCACCTCTAGACATGGTAAATGAACAATCTAACACAAATGATTAAATAAAGGATTTAGTTTGAATTTCCCTGAAGGTTACTCAGTTCGACAGGCACTTGAAGAAGGCTGAAGAGTTCACCAACCAAAATGTTATGATGATAACCACAAAAATGAGAACAACAAGAGTCCAATTATAAATAATGTAAATAAAACTTAACACGTAAGTTAATTTCTTTGTTTTGGGTCACTTCACTCCAGCAGTGAATCAAATAGTGATTCAAGACAATACCTGTGTTACTTGACAGTGTGTAACATAACAATTGCATTACAGCTATTTACCTTTTAATTCCCATATCTCGGATGGCAGTGGCTGGGGGACCAATGAAAGTAATTCCTTCACTTTCGCACTGCTCTGCAAACTCAGCATTTTCTGATAAGAAGCCATAACCTGGATGGATAGCCTGAAGGAAGCAAAACAATTAAAAATGCAGTTACATAGTGTTGTATAAGAGTAAGTGTCGTTGCCGATACTGTGGTTCAAAACTGGATCGCCAGTGAGCAACACGGTGATTCCATTAGAATCATGTGATGATAAAGGAAGTAATAAATAGGGAGTGTTGATTAAACGATCTCTGTTCTCTCTTTCTTGTCCATCCGCTATCATTCATCTGACTTGTCTATTATTGTGATACATTCACTCTCTATACTATACTTATTATTATACTATCGGTGATACTACTTGAACTAGTATTACCAGTGCAAATATATTGGAAGGTGTTATTATTAATAGTACCAGTATCTATGAAGTCTCAACTACAACAAGTGTTTTGGAAATGATAACAGGCTTTCATTTGACATAATGAAAGTGACAAGTGAAGCCTCCCAACATCATAAAAGTGGTGATGAGGATTCGCAGGGTATCATAAAACATGGACTGAGATTTTTTTTTTTTAACATAAAACAAGAATAATAAAAATAATAATTAAATTAAAAACAAACAAAACTAATAATGATTTTAAGTGCCATGTCCCTTCAGGACGTGGACGATCATGGTCCTTCACAATTTCCTGTCCTTTGTAGCTCTTAGTAAATTTTGTCTTTTCACTACCTCTTCTAAGCCCTCTTTTGCCAACCATTTATACAAGCTCATTAGGTAGTATGTGCTGCTTTCCTCTGTCCATCTTGTCTTCAATAGGTCCTGAAAGTGTCAAACTTTTTAAACTCTCTTCATTACATAACCTAGAAATTTCATCTTTCAGATTCTAAATATCTGCTCATCTTGATTCCACTTTGTCATTGCTCACATGTTCAGTCCCTCATATTCTCAGCATCCTTCTGTAGAACCATATTTCTGTTGCCTTAAGTCTCTTTTTCAACTGTGAGGAGATTGTCCAGCATACACTGCCAGCTTATGCCCGCATCATGGTGAAACACTGGTTACTATATGATCACCGGTTAAGTAACATTGAGCCTGGTCAGTACTTAGATGGGTGATCACTCATGAATATCAGGTGTTCTAAGCTTGGATGTGTGGGTGGTGTAATAAATAAAGGCTCAGAATTGTTAATTGGAGAGTCAAGTTCCAATTCCCGTTGGGTTCGTTAAATTCACTTATATGCAAATACCCTTGGGGAAAGATATGAATACGGCTCTTCTGTCCCCCAGCTATGGATTAATAAGTAAGACGTGTATCACTAAATTATTATTATTTTTAAAAAATTCTTAAAATCTAGAAATATTTTCTGGCTTTTAATAACCTGCAAAGGGTTGATAAGCTGTAGAAAATGAATGAATGAATGAATCAATCAATCAATCAAACACTGCCATACAGGAGGACTGATATTAGATAACAGTTCAGTACTCATTTCTTTGTTTCTAATGAAATTTTCTTGTTTCTTAATACTTTGCTTAGTATTTGGAAGGCATCTTTCTCTATCCCAATGTGCCTTTGGATTTTTGTGTCACATTTTCTGTTCTGTTAAAACACTTGCTAGATATTTAATAATAATGATAATAAACTAAAAATAAAACATAATGAATCCTTCCCTGTTAGGAACATTTATATAGATTCTTGACCACTAACAATCCCTTTCTGATTTTTAATGTACAACATACAGACTGAATATCAAAATTTTTACCATGGTGTGAAGCAAACTTTCTTTTCATGAAATATGTATTTGATTGGTTTATAATTTCCCATTTTTCCACTAAATCTCATCACCCTTTATTTGGCACCCAAGCACATGTGAGCAAAGTGCTATAAGTGTTGTTACAATATATCAAGTAAGCTAGCCAGCCCCTGTAGAATTTCACCCCAAGAAAGGCAATAATGCCACTAAAATGCAAGGGATTACGGGGAGTGAAAGAAAATGAGAAAACATTAATGAGGAAAAAAACAAAAGAGCAGGAAGATCGAATGTGGCAATTGATGTTGCATTTAAATTTTTGAAGATCGTAGGTGGCAAGGAAACAAGAAGCTGAAAAAAGGTTCCACAGGTGAGAAGTGCAAGAAAAGAAACTATTAGAATCGAGCTTACAGTTACAGTTCTGGGTATTTCAACAGTAACACTTACTTGCTAATCTAGAACTATACTTAAATTCATGAGGTTGAGATACTGAGGACAGCTCATTAGAAAAATTGCCATAACAATATAGAAAAGGCACAAGGAAGCCATGTCATAGTGGTGGGAAAGAGACTGAAGTCAAGATGCCAGATGAGGATCAATAACATTACTGACTCTTCTTTGGATTTTGTCAACAATCTCAAGATATATAGAAAGAGCTCCTGACCAGATATGACAATATTCAATAGTTAATTTGAGAGTAAAAATGATAATCAACTAAAAACATTGTGATAAAAAATTAAAAAAAAAAAAAGAAGATATTTATTAAAAAAAAAAAATGTTCAAAATTACAAAGAAAGACTAAATCACTTTCCCACCACTGTAACATGGCTTCCCTGTGCCTTTTCTATAAATACTTTCATTGCAATTGTTCTAATGAGCTTTAAACCATGAGTTTATGAATTTAAGTGCAGTACTATATTGGCATCTAGGTTTCATCATTTGACAGTTGAAATGGCTAGATGCAACCATAAATTTTATGCTATTTCTTCTCTTGCACTTTTGCTCTTCTGGATTCATGCTTTCCAATCAATTTTGAGCTTCAAAAGTTTAAATGCAATGTCAGTTGTTGTCATCTGTCTTTTTAATTCCAGTTCATTTATTGTCCTTCTCTCTCCATAATAATGTTTTCTTTTTATCATTCTTTCACACTCAGTAACCCCCCTCTCCTGCATCTTAGTGACTTTATTGCCTTGCTTGGGGTGAAATGACAAAGAATATTATAATTTAAAGTATGTACCATATATATTCATGTATAATAAATAAATAAAACATCTACTCAAATATGGGTATCCACTAAAAAAAAAAAATATTCAAGTAATAAAATATGCTGGATTAATAAATCAAAAATCTGTATATAAGAAATGAGCAAGACTGTTTCACAAAAACACTCTGCTGCTGCAGAAAGTTGTAAACAAATTGTGGCACTGCCCTTGTAACTACTCAACAAACTAATGCCAGCTGATTCAAAAAATGTGCCATACCATGGGAGTTACCAGACCATGGAGTGCCAGATTAAAGAGGTCAGATTGTATTTATGAGAGTAGAAATAAATTCATGCCTTTCCCAAGGGTATTAGTGCAAACAAATGCAACTAGCCTAAAAATTGAACTTTGATTGCTGACTCCACTCCCCAATATCATGAAAAGTGGAATCAGCGAGCCAAGTTCAATTTCTGGCCTAATTAGTTGCATTCACTTTTATACTAATGCCCTTAAGAAAGGCACAACTTTATCTCTACTCTACTCTGGCTATGGGTTAAATATATTTTCACATATATGTGTACTAGATAGAGAGTGATAGGCCACTGTTTAAAAGATTTTTTTTTGTCTTATGGATGGATTACTTTATGCTTTATTTCAAAATTATGAAGGTTCACTGCAATTTTTTACAGTTCAGGCTAGTTTATATAATTATAGAATATGCATTTCCTTACCTGAGCCCCAGTTGTTTTGGCAATTTGTAAGATCTTTCCATGTTGAAGGTAGCTAAGTTGGGAAGCAGCTGGTCCAATGTGGTATGCTTCATCAGCCTAAAATGGAAAAAGGTTACATTGTCTTTTGAGTTCATTAATATATGACTACTGTAAGATTGTTTTTCAGGAGTTGAACTTCAAACCAATATTCAAACCTTATTAAAAAGATTACATGATAAAAACAAAACAGTATAGCTTAAATAGCAGAGCTGACTGGGCTTTCTTGGTTGAGGTGGAAACCAGTCTAAGAAGGAGAACTCTGAATTCAAAACCAACCTGAAGAGGAATAAACTCCATACCATTGATATGCCTTAGACATATTATTACTGCTATAGTTGCAATACATATGGTGTTCCGATAGCTCTAATGGGTTATAGGACTTGTGATGTGGCATTATATGATGGATAATTTTTTTTTTTTTAAACAAATGACTGTAATGATGTAAGTGAACTAAGTGAGAATTTATCCAAACTGCATCTTTAAATTCAGTGTTTTACACCCAAATTTTTGTTATTCCCCATTCAAAATTTAGATTAATTTGGTCTTCAGCATAAAAAAAAAAAAAAAAAAAAGGAAATTTATCTGATGTAAAGAATACTTCTATCTGTAGTCATATTTGCAGACAATCTTATACTGTTATCAAAAAAAAATATCACCATGACAGCAATACATCACCCACAGATCTGATAACAAGCAGAATAAGACTGATAAGATAACTCTGAACCAAATAAATTTACCCAAATGAAAGCAAAAGAACAGTTCAGCTGAAACACAGCAAAGAAAAAAATTAGAGCCAACAATAAAAAAAAAAAACATTAATCCATATCTGTAGTTGGAGAGGAAGAAAAGAGAAAGGAAAAAAAAGGAGAGATAGGATCTTTTCTTACACAGAGAAAGAAAATAGAAAAGGGTTAACTGAACAATGTTAGATTAAATAGTTTTCACTAATGGAAGGAGGCAATAAGAATCTTACCATTACCATATGGACTATTTTTATTACCATACTATTACCATTAGCATACTGACAACTGCTATCACCATTACCATATTAACCATTACATTACCATACTATTACCATCACAATACTGGCTAAACTAAGCTTGGTGTTTATCATCTGCTGTACAGAATGTTGATTCTAGTAAACTTTCTGCCTTTCAAATAATTTTTTGTGGAGGAGGGGGGCATCAGCTAGCTTTTCAAATTCTCCACACAAGAGTACTCTAAAGACAGTCTAATCAGCAGCAATCTCTTTTTGAATTTTTTCTATGCCTGTATTTTAGAATAATCCAGAATCTATACTGGGAGCAAAAAAAAAAAAAAATCCTTCATCATGATTGGAAAGGAATTTAAAAAATATACTGTAGTTGAAGAGGAAGAAAAGAGAAAGAAAAAAAAAAAAGAGAAGAGAGATCTTTTCTTACTTACCCAGAGAAAGGAAAATAGAAAAGGGTTAACTGAATAATGTTAGATTAAATAGTTTTCACTAACAGAAGGAGGGATTACAAATTGTGGGGAAGCAGGCAGTATGAAAGCCATAAACAAAGGAAGGAGGCATTTTTTGGGCTGTTCTGTTCCATTGAGATGATTTTTTTTTGGACAGCTTATGAAACAGACCAGAGGCAAATGAAGGAGAAAGTTATGACAACTAACCAGACAATTTGACAAGGTAAGGGCTGGGCAAAGGTATATTACTTTGCTGTTCTGGACAAGGATGAAGGTACTGATGGTGAGTTTGATCTTCTATACTTGAACCGAGACAACAATGCCAAAATCTCAAAAGAACCATATCTTCATATTTACTACCATGTTCCTTAGCACTTTATTTTATGTTTTCGAAAGATTTAACTTTAATATTACAAATAATATCTCAAAATAGCTGCAGGCTTTCCTAATATAAAAATATGAGTGTAGTGTCAATAGGTCTTGCAGCAAGGAGACTTTATCGGGTTAATAGGACTGAGTAGTTGTAATTGTAGAAACCAGTGTGATTAAGCAACACTGTAGCTATATTGTCCATGTAAATAAAATATATTAAACCATATATATGTGATTGTTGTTTATTACAAAGAGTTTGAATAAAATCCCTAAATCTTAGTATTTAATGTTTATAATTTATTTTACTTCTTCTATGTGCCTTTAGGGTATGGGTGATCATGGCTCCCCACAATTTCCTGTCCTTTGTAGCTCTTAGTAAATACTGACTTTTCACCATTTCTCCTGAACACTGTTTTGCCAATCATTTATACAAGCGCATTAGGTAGGTTATGCATTGTTTTTCCTGTTCCTCTTGCCTTCAGCCCATCCTGTATGAATTAAATTTTCCAAGCCCTCTTTCTGTATTATGTGCCCTAGAAATTTCAATTTTGTTCTTTTTGTTTCCATTTTCTCTAAAACATGTTAAGTTATGCATTGTTTTCCTCTATCGCTCTTTGCCTTCAATCTGTCCTGTGAGTAACAAATTTTCCAAGCCCTCTTGTTTTCATTTTCTCTAAAACTTTTGTTGTTGCTGACATGTTTGGTTCATAGTATCCTCAGCATATTTCTGTAGAACCACATTTCTGTTGCTTCAAGTCTCTCCTTCATCTTTGAGGAGATTGTCCAGCATTCACTGCCATATTGAAGGCAAAAAGAACAGAGTAAAATCACTTGTAGTGAGCTTGAGTAAATCGATCACAGAACAAGGTTTCTGAGAATTAACAAAAAGACAAAATTTATTAAGAGCTTTGAAGGACAGGAAATTGTGCAGAGCCATGATCGCTCATGTCATGAGGAGACACAATACATAAAGAAGAATTTAGTAATCTTAGTATAGATTCTGGATTTATGAAAACAGTTTATAAAATGTACAATAAACAAATAGATTTTACATTTACTCTTTCCTCATTATGTGTCCTAGAAATTTCAAATGTCTCTTTCTGATGTTAAGTAAAAAAGTGTCCCTTTTCTCTAAAACTTCATTGTTGCTCACATGTTCAGTGTGATATTTTCCCAAGGAGTAATCCATTAGTAAAAATAATTATTTTTATTTGTTATCTTCTATTATATAAGTTTATTCTTTTTTGACATTTCCATAAAGGAGAGAAATTAAGGCATGAAATATGAAAATAATTTTTTTTTCTTTCAATGTGTGTGTGTAAAGTGTGGAGCAGAAAGAAAATAATTAAAAAAGAAAATAATCACCATGGCAACATGCATTGAGTTACGGTCAGCTTCACTGTAGACAGCCACAGAGCGGATGCCCATCTTCCGGGCTGTTCTGATCACTCGGCATGCTATCTCACCTCGGTTGGCAACCAAAACTTTGTCAATAAGACGGGACACTGGAAATAAGATTTATTCAAGCAGGTTATTTTGCAGGAAAGAAATTGATAAATAATCTACAGGTTAGATTATTGGTATGAAAAAAAATATGCAGTGAGTTTAGTATTAAAATGGAGATAAAGGTTTACACAATGTGCATCAGAAATACCTGCCACATAATGGCAAGACATTAGCTAGATCGTAGGGTCACTGAACAGCCCAGATCCCTCCATATGCCTCGGTTCAAGTGGGGGTATTTCCCACAACAGCATTGTGGCGGTCATCAGCAGGACATGGCAGCTAATCTGACAATCTTTTTTTTCTGGTGCCTCAAGTACATAATTTAAGCATGCTACTAGATCGGCATCTTGGTCCCACCATTTTATGGTTGAAATAGCAAAATGCAAGCACCACTTCTACTCCAACAGTTTCTTTTCTCGCACTTCCCACCTGTGGAACTCCCTTCCATTTACTTGCCTCCCTGATAACTACAATCTTCAAAAATTTAAATGCAATGTCATTTGCTATCTTCAGTCTTCTCAAATACCGTTCATCTTTTGTCCTTTCCTCAATCCTCCCTATTCTCAGTCTTCTCTCTCACTTTCACTCTCTGTAACCCACTGTGCACTAGCGGCATTCATGCCTTGCTTGGGGTGAAATGATTAAACAAAAAAAAAAGTTCAAATCCTAGCCAAGTTCATGGTGTTCACTTTCACACAAATACTCATGGAAAATGTTTGAATTCACCTCTTCTCCCATCAGCTATAAGTTAACTAGTAGAGTACACCGAGCATGCTAGCCTTGGTTGGCAACTATGAATTCAAAACCTGTTGGGTATGGGGCTGATAACTTAATCTGTAAAAATTTACTTGCAACATAATCCACAGCAGCTACACCTAACATGGTGTGGCTGTGACCCTCTTCTCCACAAACAAGTAATGGCACTAAGGAGGAGGATGTGCATGCAGTTTACCTGGTGGTATAGAGTTCAATCCCTGGATCAGGCAGTAAAATCCACATACTCTGGTTCAGTGAAACATGCATAAGCAGCCATCACAAGGACAAATTAAGAACTAACAAATATAAAATATCCCCTGGTTTGAACAGCAGAATGAGAACAGTTAAACCTTATAGACTGAATAAAGAATTCAGTTCAAAGTTCCAACTCTCACCAAGTAAAACAAGCAATGCAAGAAAGCTGAAAAGTACAATGGCAGAAACATTGTGACTATAACAACCAAGATGAGGACAGTAGTTCAAACTGTTGAAATATCAAGCTGTAACCGTAAGTTTTATTCAAATAGTTTCTTCTCTTGCACTTCTTGCCTGTGGAACTTTCTTCTTGCTTTCCAGTCAACTATGGCCTTCAAAACATTTAAATGCAATATCATTCATTATCTTGTCTTCTTGAATCCTGCTTTTATTTATTGTCCTCTCTCTTCAATAACATTTTCTCAGTTTCTTTCATGCTCAGTAACCTCTTAGTGACCTTGCTTGGGATGAAATGATTAAAAGAAAAAAATAAATAAATCAATGCATCATAATGAAAATTCCTTATTTCAGAAATAAATAAAACAGCTAGGTTGCAAACACTAGTTCAAATAATGATAATTTTCCAGACAGCTTTACATCATTGAAACAATTGGAGTTCAATGAAATAATGTCATTTAAACTATTTCATTGAAACCTGAACATTAAAACACAAATTACAATATTTTTTTTATTCAAATTAACAGTTCTATAATTAAAATTCATGATTCCATTCAACACATATTTCTAGTAATTCATTCAACAAAATTAATTTGATTTATAAGTTGTAACTGAATTTGCAATTGTTTTTAATAATAATTTTTTTTTGTTACATACAATGAATGAAATAACATTATTTTTGTTTCCTCCTCAAAAACATATGAGAGGATGCTGGGAAATTTTCAACCACTCCAATTCCTAAAATCAGTATTTCAACAACCAAATATCAGAATACTGACTTTGTGAAGTAGGTCAGGCAAAAAAAAACATTTTAGTATCTCTTTATAGAAATTTATAGTCCAAAACATATATCAAACATAACATTTATTCTCATGAGAAACATTATACAGGGCACAAAACCATTACCTATTTTTAATGTTTTTTGTTAGAAAATGATGAAATTTCTTTCATAAAGGCACAGCATTTGGAGTCAAATGTGGACAGATGAGTTTTTGTCCACATACTAGTGGCAAAAATAGTCCAAGAGCTTCATACTTCTCATGGAAGTAGCAGGAAGACGGGCTGTGATTGGATAGTTTTTTGACCAATCTGGAACTGCCATAGGGTTCGGTAGAACCTTAAACCTTACTGCTGCTAAGTGTGTGGTTTGATCAGTGTATGAGTTTTTGTTAAAGTGTGTGTAGGTGTTAACTCACTTCACCTTTGTTTATAAAAGGCTTTCATTTTCCAGGATAGATATTTACTCACCTGACATTTTGAGGATGACAATTTCTTGGTGGTTGTTTTTGTTTCAGCTTAATTTTTGATCCTTGAAATAAAAAATAAATATAAAAAAAAAATAAAAAAATGCACATGTAATACTTTACAATACATGGATTATTATTGTGGTTAAACTAATAAGGTGCATGGTTATTGTCTAAGTGGATATTTGTACTTTGATGATGATTTTTATATCTTTACTGTACACATTCATTTATATTTTGTAATAAATTGAAGCAAATAATTAGTTTTGAGTCAATAAAAAAAAGCTTCTAATCTAAACTTCAAAGAAAGATTCTGCCAACAACATATGGATAAGTATCTGTCTATATTTCTGAGATGAGGTATTATGTACACTATTTACATTATTCGAACTATTGTCCTCATCTTTGTCACCATATTTATCACATTTCGGTCATTGTACACTCCAGCCTTCTTCAGGTAGTTGGAATGTCGAATTGAACCCTTTATTTCGCTTGCTGGGATAGATTGTTCTAGTTCCACGTGCCTTTTGTAAAGGATGTCAGTTATCGGTTATTTCCTGTTAATTCCTCTCTCCAAGTTCTCCACTGCCTTAACCAGGTATTGAACTCACACTCTTTGGGTCCTGTCACTGGATCTAACTAACACCTTTATCCACTGTGCCATGTGTTCTTGAGACCAATAGTCCAAATAATGTAAATAGTGAACATATGGATAAGTTTATAATTTGAAAGGATCAGCTTTCTTAAATTTATTGACCAATCAGAATGCATTATTCCAAGAAACAATGTCCACCAGTTTAATAAATCAAGGTCAGGTAAATAAAATCAAGTACTTTCATTTCTCTTACGCTGTTGATCACATACACACATTCCAGGAAGAGAGAATCAACTCCTCAACTTTGTAACCTAACTACATACACACATATCTACTCACAGCCCTCACATGCTTTTTTTTTCCTCCAGCAACCAACCATTACTTCTTTTCTACTCTCTAAAGTATCCATTTCCTTTCATACTGTCTTTCTTTAAAGGCGAACTTAAAAAAACAACACTGTCTTCTCCTGTTTCATGTATATTTTTTTTTTTTTTTTAATTTCAACTTTTTGATTTAACTCAACTTTTACAAGGTTATATTTTTGCTGGAAGATAATTTATTTGGAGTCAGATAACTGTCACTTCCACCACAACAAGATATCAGTTACTATTACCAAATGAATCATTTATTTTTTATCTTTAACCAGATTGTTTTAATTCACAACAAAATTTTCAGTTATGTATTTTTTTAAATAAATACTGGAATCTAAGATTTTGAAAAAAATTTTAATCACTTCATTTCAAGCAAGGCAATAAAGCCATTAAGACACAAGTGATGCGAGAGAATATGAGAAAAAGAAAACATTATTAAGAAAAGAGAACGGTAAAAGAATAGGAATTCAGAAGATAACAATTGATATTGTATTTAAATTTTTGAAGATCAAAGTTGACTGGAAAGTGGGAAGAGAGTTCCACAAGCAAGCAGTGGGAGAGAAAAAACTCTTAGCATAGAACTTAGTTTGTTTCTTTGTTTTACGGCATATCAACCTCAATGGGTCATTTAATGACGACAACTATAGAACTTAGTTACATCTAGCTATTATCAACTGTAAAATAAGGAGACGTCACCAATCTAGTACTGTGCTTAAATTCATAAAATCTAGGTACCAAAAAGGAAAGTGACATTTATTTCTAAATTAACAGAAAATGCGGAATAAGGCCAAAAGGTGAATGGAGAAACGATGGTCTTCATCTGTTTTATATTTAAACTTAGCTAGCCACAATCACTGACCCAAACATATTCCAATGTATACAATTTGTAGCAAAGAGGAAAGCTCACAAGGAAAAAAGGGAAACAACGTACGGCAGTGGGAAAGTGACTGAAACCAAGATACCAGGCCAGGATCAAATAACATTGCAGATTCTTTTTTGTATTTTATCAAGAAACTCTAAAAAATACATAGCAAAAGCATCAGACCAGATGTGACAGCAATATTCAATGCATGGATGAGTGCTAAAGTGACTTTAAAATTTTTATATCAAATCTGAAGTAATCTTTTTATACTGCACTCTAGAAATATTTAATTTCCTTATTACATATTTTTATCAGATTATTCTTATTTATTGAGGTAGGGAGTGTCATTTAACAAAATAAAATTGGTTAATTATCGCAAATGCTAATTTGACATTGTTTAACTTTCATCAATTTTTTTCTGTCTGAATTTTTGGGAGGAGGAGTTATCATTACATGCATCCCATCATTGACACTGTTGTTATATTGTTTGTTTTTTTTAGTATCATAATATTTCGGACGTTAGTGTGTGACTTTCATCAATGTATTCAGTAGTGTCACTTTTTCTTCTTAACTTACTGTTTATTCGAGGGCGTAGATTCTTGATTGTTTACGGATTTTACAAAAATTACTGACCAGTTCAGAAGAGTGGTGATATTGTTATCAACAATGAAAGATTTGCACTTTCAAAGGCAACGTGATTTGTTTTAAAGCTAAAAAAATACCTCCAGTAAAGTTTCCTTTTTACAGAAAAGGAAATTAAAGTCTTATTTTATCTGCACATAAACTATTATTTAAAACTCATAAAATTGTTCAAAAGTGCTCGAAAAATGTTAATTACTTTCACCACGAGTCCACTCACTTTACACGTGCAATAAAGGACTTTGAATTTTATTTCAAATCCATGCTGTTTTTTCTTTGTTTTTTGTCGGTAAAAGAATTTTAAAATTAAGAAAGAAAAACCATAAAAACAATCACAATAAATAATAAATAAAATATTACTTTCCCCTCCAAAGAACGATCGCGCGGTTTTCAGGGTCATCATATTAAAACTCTAAAAAACTAAAAATAAATACTAAACTAAAACTAAACTTTTTTTTTTTTTTTAAACTAAAAAAAGAGCATTTTTTTAAATTATTACACAAGTGAAGTCTATGAGGAAATTTTTATCATATCCAAACAGTTTTTAATTTGAGTAACACACATTCATTAAAAAAATTATTGGTGAATAATAAAACCTTTTTTTAGTTTTACATTTTGTTTTACTCCTGCTAAAACTAAAAGGTTTTTTTACGATATCGAAGAGAGTGATGCCATCATTAGTGTCAAATTTTTAAAACGATAAAATATTACCACTGATTTTTTCGCAGTTTCTTTCTCTATTGTTGATATTTTTTGGCTGTTTCACGTTAATGAATTTATTATTTATGTTATGTCTTTCAAAACAAAACTTAAGAAACTGGAGGTGAAAAAAGCATGCTGTGAATTTACAAAAACTCATGTTATGCATTTAGTTTAAAGTAAATGTTAAAAACAAACTGATTAATAGACCAGAAATTACAGCTGCATTAAAATATGATGTTAGTATTTAATCATGACAGGGCACGAGTCCTTACGATATACGATTTTTTTTCCTGACTTTTTAAATAATTATAAAAAGTCGAAGGTCAACAACTCAACATTCAAAAACAAGTTTATTTTTGTGATAGGGAATCAAATTTAAAACAGGTTGTAGCATCAATCAAAAGTTGTAGGAATAAAGAATACATAAGAAGTCGAGATAAAATAACAGCCACGAAGAAAACAACTGGAAGGAAAATAAAGCATATAATTCTAACCTCAGTTGGTGTATTCTAATCTCGTTCTGCGTGTCGCTGTCAAGTTTGCTAACTCTTGATTTAAAAAAAATTTGCGGAAGTCATTTCAGAGTTGCTTCCCTTGAACACGTAGCTTTGAAATATGATGTTTTATTGGGTATTTTTCACTATGAGAAAATAAATACATGGGCAATTGAATGGCAAAATAGAAAAAAATCGTATTTAATGCGTTTTGTCCTTCAAAAGGATTTCTTCAGACTGAATAATTTACTTTTCTAAAAAAAATTAGAACAACTACAATATGGGATATAAAATTTTTAAATAAAACATAACAGCAATAAAAATCAAAAGCTGTAAGTAAGCAGAAGCTGAATAAAGTCGTTAGACTGTAAGTAGTACAATTTATATCGAATGCAAGAAATTTAGATTTAAATTTAAGCTTCCCTGCATCTTTAGCGTTTACTCTGTGTTTAATTATTTCCATTCCCTCACCCTACAGATATATAATTCTATTAAAACATTAGTCTGAAGAAGTCTTTTTCAAGGACGAAATGCGTTCATAAGATCTTCTTCTATTATGTCATTCAATTACCCATCAGAATTATTATTCACTATTATTCAGGTAAAAAGAGATGTGTTGAGATATGTTGATAAGAATGGACCATTTGTAGATGTCTGTTATTCATGACCACCCGATTTATATTTAACGTAAAATATCACAAAATATGAAACAGCAAGAAGGAATAAAAACGATTTTGATAACAAACATTTATATTTATTTTGTGTAATGATATACATGCATAGAAGTTAATATTTTGATGTTATGTCCCTTAGACTGATTTAATTTTTTTATCTGAGCTCACAGATGTTGAATAATTATAAAGCAGAAAAATGCTGAATAAACTGTAGCTTTAGAAAAGTATTTCAAAGAGAAAAGTTCTTGTTGCTTGTTTGGAAATATTCTTTATGTTGTAATGTAGTTTGTAAAATTTTGTACGTACATGCATGCGTGAATATGCTTTTAACATCTAACCACCCTTGGTCGAGACAGAAATCCTTAAGGTCACATCTTCGCAGGAAAAGGGAATAGAAGAGAGAGAATGAGTAAGCTTGTGTCTGATAATTATAATTAATGTAACTACATGACAAGATCAAATGAACTTGGCAGGAAAACTTGACTTGGTCAGGCACTGGAAAAATATTTGTAGATGGGTGGATTGCAATATCCACTTGTGTGTTTATTGACCAATTAGAAGCTGATATTTCCTGAAAATATTTACTAAGCTGAGTAAGCTCTCTGATCCACTTTTTGCACAAAATTGTACAAAATTCAACATTGATAAGAAAGTGGTAGCAGGATGCTAATGATGTTTGTGTTAGAAATAAGCCTTTTGCTTTTTCCATGGCAAATGATCCAACAAGTTATATTCTTTAGTTTCATCAGCCATAATTTTCACAGCTAAGATCCATCATACCATGTACACTGGAACTAATCATCTCTATCTCCTTTGAATCCCTTTAGTAAGACTAAGAAGGTAATTTTATTTGGACAACTTCTTCCCAAAAATTGCTACTTTATGGAGCACACTCCTAAGAGGATATTTCCCCGATCACAACAATCCTAACTTCTTTAAGTCTACAGTTAGCCAATACATTTCCTAGATATCCTTTTAAACTGCACTCCTTACTTCCTCCTCTTATGTGCAACAACCTCAATCAGTAACTCTCTACCTTGACTGACTCATGGGCCTTGAATTGAGTGAAAAATTAGCAAGAAAACAGTCCCAGTTTGAAATTTGTATATATTGACACAATTTTTTATCATAAAAAACATATGACATGTCACAAATATGTCAGCTTGTCATATGCCATGATTTTGCCAGATAGTCCTTGTGATATTACTTGAGTGGTATATGGGCACATGACCAAGGTGTTAGAACATTCACTTTCTGACCACGAGATCCGGGTTCAAATTTCAAATCTCACTATGGTTGATTTGTCAGGAAGGTGACTTTTTGATGTTATCAGTCTGGGAATGTACCTGAGCAGGCTTCAGCAACAGGGATTGGCTAGCTGCCCTAGTAGATGGGCATCCTCAGATATGAGTAGCCAGCATTTATTTATGTGGGTATGCAAGTGCATCATGAAATTTAAGATGTGTTGGAACATTTTATTATATAAGTAAATCTATAATAAAAATTGAAAACTCCTCATTTAGGGCTTGCTACTGTTGCCAAATCTCATGCCACGAAGATGTTGAGCCCACAAAATCCACCTTATCTCTCCAGCTCTCACAGTCTTGATAGTGTTAGAACATCCTTTAGCATCAGATTAATCTGCTGGAGGTCTTGTCTAGCCTGTGTTGGGCTAACAACCTGGACAGGTGAACCTTCCTATTAGGACCTTGAATAAGTTCTCAATGATTTTTTTATGAAAAGTAATTTTTTTTCAGGGAACATAATTATGAATATTTAAGTCCTTTATACATGTCACTGAAAGTATTGTCCATTTTTAGCCATTACATTTTCCCATCTTTCTAGCAGCATTTGAATTCCAAATTGGAAAAAAGACATGTCTTTTGAGGCTAACCATGAATCAACCCATTTTTTGGCATCTTCATAAGAATCAAAGTGCTGCTCAGCTAGGCCATGTGCCATCAATCAAAACAAGTTATAATAGGATGGGATAATGTCTGGTGAATATAGCAAGTGGGATAGGACTTTCCATTTTCACCCATTTTGCAACATGTGGCCTAGTGTTGTCATGTTGCAAAATCACTCTGTCGTGTCTGCTCATATAGCGGCCGTTTTTTCTTCAATGCTCAGTTCAAATGCATCAACTGTAGTTGACAGCAATCCCCTGTGATGGTTTCAGTCAGTTTGAGCAGCTCATAATAAACTATGCCCAGCTGATCCCACCAAATGCAGAGCAGAAGCTTTGAACTATGGATATTCGGTTTTGCCGCCAATATTGACGCATGGCTGGACTTACCCCACAATCTTCTACACTTAGGGTTATCATAATGTATTCAATTTTCATCACCAGTCATGTTACGATGCAAAAAACCTTTCCTTTTCTGCAATTGAAGGCAGCTGTTCACACATGACAAGATGCAATTTGATGTCTCTCAGCTTCAACTCATACAGCACCCAATGTCCTTGCTTTTGAATCATTCCTAATGCTTTCAAAAGTTTTGAAACTTTTGTGTTTTCAACTCCTAATGATTCTGCAAGTTCAGCTTGCGCCTGACATGAGTCTTCATGAAGTAATGCCTTCAATTCTTTGTCTACAAATTTTTTTGGTTCTACCAGAATGTTCTTTATTTTCAACATCAAACTCATTATTTTTTAAGTGTGTAAACCAATCTCTGCATGTTGTTTCCGACAGAGCATGGTTGCCGTAAATCTCAATAAGAATTGTGTGTACTTCAGCTGCAGATTTCTTTTTGAATAAAGTAGTGCAATTAAATTCCCTGCAAATACACTTTCTTTGGCACAAAATCAGACATGTTTAATGATATGAAAAACAAAGTTTTTTACACTTCAGCAAAATGTCATACACTGAATTTCAAGCTTGCTTATAGTACATCCTTATAGATGCATTACCATCTGAAACTACACATACACAGTTCTGGGAACACCATCTGTTGAAAAACAGTGAAAACTCATTCAAGGTCCTAATATTATTGATACCCAACAGATTTGAGGCTTGGTATGAGTAAAAATATGGCTGTGTGGAAAATTAAATAAAATCGATAAATAAAATAATAATATTGAATAATAAAAAAAAAAGGAAAAGAAATTGTTATGCCAATATATACAATACTAGCAGTAAAGCCCGGCATTGCCCGGGGATGTAACAGTAAGAGATAGATCAAGTATCGACCATCATAAAGACTGAAAAATAAAATTGACAAAGATTATTGTTTAAGGTTGACGGACATGCATGTCTTAATTTGTTTTTTTTGTTGTTGTTTTTTTTACGAATTGGTCAAACCCAAACTCAAACAAAAACATTGTTTTCAATCGTTATGAGTCTACCGATTGAATAGAATTTTATTATAAACAATTGTCTTGTAAATGGAATTTTTAAAGCATTCTCAATGTAAAAATAAAGAAAAAAAAGTGTGCAAGACAATAAGAAACATTACCTGCCAAAAAAAAAAAGTGAAGTTTTGTTGAAATCAGTTGAAAAATGTAGGAAATCCGATCCCATATATAAACGAACACACACATACACAAACAACCTGGGTTTTATAATAAGTATAACTTGATATGAGTTGTCCCCCTTTCATTCTCGTGATGATGCCTCTTAATCATGTTTTCAAATTGATTTAATGCAAAAACAATTGTGTTTTTCCAATTTTTGGCACTGTTAGAACGACCGCAAGGTAATTTTACATAGTCCTGTGAAGTTTTGTTGAAATCGGTTGAAAAATGTAGGAAATCCGATCCAATATATAAACGTACAGACACACACACACACACACACACACACACACAATCTGCGTTTTATAATAAGTAAGATTTACATTATTTGGACTATTGTCCTCATCTTTGTCACCATATTTATTACAATGTTTTGGCTGTTGTATGCTCCGGCCTTCTTCAGGTGATTGGAATGTCGAACTGAACCCTTTATTTTACTCACTGGAGTAGACTGTTCTAGTTTCACATGCCATGTTTAATGGATGTCATTTATCAGTTATCTCCTGTTAATTCCCCTCTCCAAGTTCTCCACTGCCTTAACCAGGTATTGAACTCACACTCTTTGGGTCTTGTCACTGGATCTAACCAATGCCTTTATCCACTGTGTCTTGAGGACACATAATACCTCATCTCAGAAATATAGACAGATACTGAATATATACAAATTTGAAATTGGAACTTTATTTTGACTAATTTTTCACTCAATACAAGGCCCATGAGCCACTCAAGGTAGGGAGTTACTGATTGAGGTTGTTACAGTTTAATAGGATATGTAGGAAATATATTGCTTAACTCTAAACTTAAAGAGGTTAAGATTGTTGTGATCAGGAAAGTTCTTCTTGGGAGTGTGTTCCATAAAGTAGTAAT